AGTAAAATATCTGACGGTTGGACAGTAGAACATCTGAAGGTGGAACAGCGGAGCATCTGATTGTGGAACAATCATTATTGAACAGTGGAACATCTGACAGAGTAACAGAGATTGTGGAACAGAGATAATGGGACAGTAGAACAGATGGTGGGACAGTGAACCATCTCATGGTGGAACAGTTAAACAATCATGGAGGAACATTAGAACATCTGATGGTGGAACAGTGGAACGTCTGATGGTGAAACAGTAGAACAGAGATGGTGAAACAGGGGACCATCTGATGGTGGAACACTGGAACAATCAAGGTGGAACAGCGGAATATCTGATGGTGGAACAGTGGAACAATGATGATGGAATAGTGGAACATCTGATGGTGGCACAGTGGAACAGAGAAAGGGGAACAGTAGAACATCTGATGGTGCAACAATGATGGTGGAACAGTAGAACATCTGATGGTGGAACAGTGGAACAATGATGATGGAATAGTGGAACATCTGATGGTGGCACAGTGGAACAGAGAAAGGGGAACAGTAGAGCATCTGATGGTGCAACAATGATGGTGGAACAGTAGAACATCCGATGGTGGAGCAGTGGAACATTTGATGGTGGAACAGTGGAACAATCTTGATGGAACAGTGGATTATTTGATGTTGGAACAGTGGCACAGAGATCGTGGAACAGTAGAACAAAGATGGTGGAACAGTGGACCATCGGATGGTGGAACAATCATTATTGAACAGTGGAACATCTGATGGTGGAACAGTGGAACAGAGATGGTGGAACAGTGGAACATCTGACAGAGGAATAGTGGAACAATCATGCTGGAACAGCAGAACATCTGATGGTGGAACAGTGGAACAATCATGATGGAGCAATGGAACATGTTATGGTGGAACAGTAGAAGATCTGATGGTGGAACAGTAGAACATCTAGTAGTGGAACTGTGAACAATGATGGGGAACAGCAGAACATCTGATGGTGGAACAGTGGAACATCTAATGGTGGAACAGTGGAACATCTAATGGTGGAAGAGTGGAACATGTACTGGTGGAACAGTGAACAGAGATTGGGGAACAGTGGAACATTGACACAGAGATGGGGGAACAGTGGAACATGTGATGTTGAAACAGTGACGGAGGAACAGTAGAAGATCTGATGATGGAACAGTGGAACAAAGCTGGTGGAAAAGTAGAACATATGTTGGAGTTAGGGTTAATTTAGTGTAACCCTTCCCACAACCCCTTAGGGTTAGAGTTAGGTTGGGGTGAAGGTTACAGTTAGGGTTAGGGTAAGGTTAGGAGGTTACGAGTTAGCTAAGGAGTCCTTTTTGTTTCTTTTATTTTACTTTTGTTTATTTTTTTAATTATTATTTTTATTTATTGATATTCTGCTTATAGAAAGATTAGAAAAGTCCTAACTGGAATCCCGGATCGGGTCCGGGCTTTGATGTTAGCTTACCATATTGAGGTGCCGGAAAACTATTAATTCACCGAAAAATTCTTTTTGAAAGAAATAACTTTGCAAAGAACTATGATTTGAACGCCATAGCCCGCAGAGCTCGCGTAGATGACAACAACAACACTCACCTCTTTTGCCTACTATCGGTTAACAAATTCAAAAGTTTTCTCTTAAATTTACGTCATAAAACGCATGGTTAACGGTTCATCGTGTACTGTTGAGTTATGGATGCACTTAGAAACGTCTTGGGAGGATTGCTAAGCTCACAAGAACTCGAGCTATAGTGTATTGACGTCATCAGCTCAATGGTAATATGAAGCATGCTCACGCTCTTGAATTTGACTGGACGAATATCCTAGCTATGTTATAATTTTGTTTGAATAAAAAGAAGAGAGCTACAAGGGCAGTGAAACTAATAGCATAATTAAGTTATAGTTATAATAAAATGTCTATCCAGGTTACTTTCGAGTATTGTTCTGACAGCAAATAACGTTTTATTTCTTTGGAAGAGGAAAATGTGGTAAGGTCTTTCACGTGATCATGAATATCGCGCCAGTTTTGTCAATTTATCGAGCTTCATATTAATTCTGTCAATGATAGTGTACAACGAAATGCCCTTAAGGTTTAACAAATGCGCTTGTACCAAACGTTGACGTCCCGGACATCATAAATGGCGACCGGAAATTAACATTTTCTCTCTTTTGGAGTCCTGACTCGACAAATTCTTACAGCGGGAGTTAAAACAAAGGCATTGAGCATGAGATTTGTTTTTGTGAGAAGAAACCGTTCCATCAAGTGAGACATCGAACTTCCGGTTGCTATTCATGACGCCCAGGAGGTCAGCCTTCTCGTAGTTTAAGCTCGCTAAAGCCAAGGGCAAACGGTCAAACGTCTGTTTGCACATAGCTATGACAGGTTTCAAACTTTGCGCAACAACTCCCAACAACATGCAAAAACATGCAACAGGGTGTGCAAACGGACGCAACATGTAACATCCAACAATGTTGTGTCATTTGCATGGGGCTTAATATGTATAACCAAGAATTAAAGTCGTTCATCAACTGATCTCCACACTGTCTCTACAGTCAAAATATTTAATATTTTATGGTTAAATCTGTGATCTAGACTCTCTAAAAGTCCATTTCCGATTTCTGCTGGTTAGTTATGCAAGTCTACCTATGATTAATTTCAGGTATGTAATCACTGTCAAATCGTTTAGTTATTGTATGTCTACTTTTAGTCAATACTGTTTGGTAATATGTCGCCTATCATTTTTTAACCCTTCACGCCCTAAGAGTGATCAGCATCAAATTTCTCCTTATAATAATATCATATACATATGAATGCTTTCTAAAACTGTGACAAAAATTAAGGACATGGTAACACAACATATAATGTCAATTGATACTTCAACAGCTTCTCCCCTCTACCTCAGAAGAAAACATATAGGGGCACCAATGAGAATTTAAATTTTGATATTAGGGGTTAAAGGATTAATGTAATGAGGCCATGGGGTCACAAGGGAGTGAGTACCAATTACATGTACTCCTGTGTGAATTTTAAACTTCTTACAAGTAAGGAGAACCCCTAGTCAGCCTAGTGGGGTGAGGAGGCAATGGCATTAGTATTCTTGCCATCTACTTCTCTTAAGTATGACATCCATCTCCATTTTGAAGCTTTGTAGTTGTAACTTATTATTATTTTAAGGCAGGCAATTCATGAAAGCAGTCAAACACATTTTTGATGTGTGTTGACCTGTTTAAGGCAACATATCATTTCTGACTCAGGAATAAGGTCCCAATTATTCCGCTGTACACCATAACTGAGTTTGTAAGTACAAAAAACAATATTACAATAGTTTTAAAATTCTCAATTTTGCTGGAAATAATATATTATTATTTCATTGTTAATAATAATAATAATAATTGTTATTTTGTGAACATTCCAACAACCTGTAGTATAAACAGTGTCCATTTTCCTGTAAATGGCCATTCACTTGTTATAATATTAAAGAAAAACTTTTAAAATGGGGAGAAACATAGTTTTTATTCCATTTTAGTTAGCCACACTTTGTAGCTTCTAACACCACGACCATGAAAGTTGTAATCTTCTGCAGAATCATTGAAGACCTTTGTTGATTACCAGACTAAGGTTACGTTAAACCATCTGTAGATTGAGGTTGTACAAGCCTGTAGAAGGCAGGTACAAAACACGGACCAGATCACCTCATTAACATACTTAGGAGACAACAGTTGCCATTGTTTTCTCTATAATTATGTAAATAAGTCGATCCAATCCGGGCTTTGAAATGTACATGCCCGTCTGTAGATAATGTTCACACAATTAAATAAACTTGAATATAGTTTTGGTGCATTGACCAACACCCAACCAACAAATATTTTGAATGATTTAATGAGTTTGATGATATTAAAATTTCTTCAATGCAACCCCCTTAACTAAGAGATAGATAGCCATCACAAAGTGCTTATAAGTTTTGTCATAATATGAGTGACAAAACTTTACTAAAATACTTGTAATTTAGTCAGATACGTAGTATTATGAAAATATAACTTCCAATTAGTAGCTGATAAAACGGTTAAGTTTTCAGCCCACAATGCAGGCAGTTTCTGGGTTGCATGGATGGATTTAGCGGGGGCCACAATTCTTTTTTGTCTGAAATGGTACAATTTTCCCAGTAGAAATTAATCTGATGAAGTTATGAATATATGAAAATCATATAAAATTATCAGAACTACAGGATGAAGAATTATATGAAAGAAGATCATCGCAGTTATAGACGCAACTTTTGCAGTTGCCAGGATTAATTTGTCTTCTATTGCCTTAATGTTTCAACACAGCTGATGCCAGAGTTCTCTATACAGCTGGCAAGTCTCCCGGCTCCCTCTTTTTGATTTATTTCTCTACAACACTGTGTGGTGGATGACTAATAAAGTGCAAGAAAAGGGGACAAGGGAAGTCATTCATACTATACACACCCTCTTGCGGGGTTCGTACAGGTCATAGAAAACCTGGAAAGTTATGGAATTTAATTGTCAGTCCTTGAAAGTCATGGAAAATTAAAGTTTTGTTTGGTAGATTAGTTACTGCGGATGACAAAGCAAGGATAACACAAGATAAAGACGAGTAATTAAACAGTGTGAATGGCACACATTTTGGTGGATACCAGAGTTTGTTTCTGTTGAACTGTTTAAGGTCAAAAAATATGCTAAAACAAGTAAAGTTTTGAAAATTTTCGAAAATGACAGCTAAACCTAAGGACATGGAAAACTAAAAGAGGTCATGGAAGAAGTCAGGGAATTTGAAGAACCCTGTCTTGATAGCACTTCCCATTCTCCCCAGTCTTTCTCTTCTTTAAAATTAAAATACGATATGGCAATTGGCCTTTTCCAATAGTTAGTCACGTGATCAACTTTCAGTAAACACCAAAACAGGTTGCTTTGGGAAAATGATGTTGGCTTTAAATGAACTGTTTGCAATAAACTACATTACAGAGACTTACTTCTCTTCACTTTATTTCCAATTTATAAAACAGTCACAATCCACTGTATAAAATGATGACATATCTGCCTATCTAGAGCCGTGAAGGATGAAGAGTTGACGTAGGAAATCAGCGCCGTCTCTATATCACCAGGTTCAAACTGCACTCCTAGGTAAAAAAAATATCAGAGAGCAAAGGATGAATGTCATCAGTAAAATAATCAATTTTATTTCAGGAGGGTGAACTTCAAGTTCAAATCTAGGAGACAGCTCCACAAAGTTATTAGTTTTAGTAACAAGGAATAAGCTGCTCAAAATAACTAGGTTTAAACTCATCGCCAAGAGATGAGCTTGGGTGCCTTAAAAGTTGGATGGGAACCTGAGCGACTCAGGCGTAGCTTTAACACCAGATCCACATAGATCAACTCAAAACGCCCGCATGTCACAAAATAAGCAAAGGCCCCCGTGGTCACCCCACAGATCACATATGCTTGAGGGGGAGACTGTTGACTGCATTGGCTTGCAATTTAACTTTGCCGAAATTACATTAAGCCACATTAAATGCCCCCTTGAAATAATTTCAAAGGAGCCTTTATTACCAGGGCAAATTTCTCATAAATGCAGCACATCTTATAATAGTGCCCTCCACCACCAAAAAAGCTGTCAAAGCTTCTATTAATCAAATGCATTTCCCAAAAGACAGGAAAAGGACACGGTTATTATATTTTGGATCCCTGATGTTTTTCATTGGTGTTGCATTTTGGAGCAAAGTATTTGATTCAGGCATCGATGAGGCTATAACAAAGACAGCAACAATTATGAGTAGCTAAACAAGGGCTCCTGGCACATCTGATCACCATACATTATTTTGAAACTCTTTTTTATCTTTAAGAGTTTCCTGAAAAATTTATGGCTTTCCAATTTAGAGCCACTGGTATTCTCTGAATCATTTTTGACAGAAAATAATACATCTCAATTTTAATCACAAGATCAATGACTTGACATTATTTTCATGTTTTACAATGTACTTGTGCTTTTCCCTGAAAATACAGAACTGTATTTGCAGAATAAAAGAAAGCAAGAAAACGCACCTTTCAACCTACTGACAAGATCTGTAAAGAGAGAGAGCATTTCGTGGTCATCACACTTGATATCTATCTTTTCAATCAAACCATGATAAGAAGTTGCTGTGATAGACTGCAAAAATAAAAATAAAAATAAACAATATTTATTAAGAAAGTTTTACAACCGAATTGGGGGATACCAATCGTCTGTTGCACATCGGTTAAGCCTGCGTTGCGATTTCCCCAAGTTAAGTTTCTTCTAGCTTATGTCATCATTTTTTTAATTATTGACCTGCCAATATTCAGGTCCCACCCAGCAGCACTAGCAAGATATGTGAGGCATGAGAGGTCGTTCTATTATTCACGTGTTATTTAGGTTTGTGCGTTACTGGCCTAGGTTTCAGCTCGTACTGCTGCCCCTGTAGCACATTACTGGCCTAGGTTTCAGCTCGTAGTGCTTCCGCTTTTCTTGTGACCTGCCAATACTCTTCTTGGAAGTGGCATGTTGCTGGCCTAGGTTGTGCTGCCACTGCAGCGTGTTGTTATTATTGTTGAGTTTTATTGGTCTGAGCTTCAGCTCATAGTGCCAGGGAAGTGAGGCCTTAAAATGGTCACGCACAGAAGTCGCGTGTCATGCAATCACTGAGAGGTGTCCCCCTTAATTACTCCGAAAGGAGTCTGGTAGTCCTTACTCTAATATTAAAAGTTGTTTAAATAGTTATTGGTGGTGTAGTGTCAACCTTTACTGGAACAGTCTGTGACAGTGACAATTGTTTATTATTTTGTTTCACAAAATCTTGGGCGTATCTCTTTCAAGATTAGTGCTATATACATATATCTCCATTTTATCACCTGTGACCAAAAATCATCCATAAAAAATAAGTAGTTCCTCTGTGCTAGAAAAATGATAGCAATTTTAAATTCCACTTACAATGTCCTTGGATGAGAGGTTTGTTGAAAAAGTGACACTAAATCTTGGTGTTTTACCATAAATCCATTTCCACTCCTGAAAAAAACAAAACAGTGCCAAAATTACTTCAGGGACACTTCCACTACAAGGACATTCCCAACAGGGATGCACAAAATGTTTTTCAGCAAACACTCCAACAAATCCTTTCTTTGTATGTGCACTGCCTTTTGTATTTGGTTCTCTCAGCAACTAGTTCTATCACATTGCATAATTAACCATTGCCTAATTAGCTAAACTGGATAAGCACTGGGCTGCCAAACGGCAGGCCATTGGTTCAAAGTGCTGTCTTTTTAAAGACATCTGCAAATGGCTAGACTTTCTACTCTTCTCGGCTAAGGACAATAAACCAAAGGCCCCATCTCACAACCCTTGAACATATAAAATCTGTGGGACATTAAAGAACCCACAAAGACTGATAAACTGTTACAGGCCTGCGTAATTGGTACCACCACTGTTGCAGTGACCCTGCCAAGAATTGGCAAAGCAAGTAAAAAAGTAAACTTTCAATTTTTGTTTGAATTTATTTTGCAGTTAAATTCACTATGTTCAAAATCATCTGTCATCCATCAATATCATAACAGTTGATATTCTAGATACAGGCTCCTCATTTAAAGATGCAAGATCACATCCAAGGTACTTCCAAACTGTAACAGCATTTAACACTACCTGAAGCTCCTCCTTCATGGTTGTTATTCCTGGAAAGAGCTCCTCTTTAGAAGGATCTATCTCCACCACCTGCAGATTTGAGAAAGATGACATTAGCAATATTAATTGGCCAAAGGAGAAAATACCATAATAGCCATTTGGATGGGGCTTCCTGTAAACCTAACTTTTGCATTATCTTTTGTTTATTGCATGAACTGCATGTGCACTATATACAAATCTATGTGAAGCTGATGCATTACGCATGCAGATCGTGCGGAACTGAGAAAAGATGTTGTAGAAGTCCGGTTAACAGGAAACATCACCCAAATGAGAAACTAAAGAGTACATGTATTATGGTATTTTCTGCTTTGGCTGATTTTATTGACTGTTGTAAGGGCTATTATTCAAAGCAACCCCAAGAAGAAGAGAGCTATGAGAACCAGCCACAAAACACCACTCAAGAGTACAACAAACACCAGAGAGAACCAGGAGATCATCCACAAGAACCAAGCAAACAATGAGGATAACCATGAGAGAACCAAGGAAAGAAAGGACTGTGAGAACCATAATAAACCTGCCTCAGAACCAAGAAATAACAACAAGCACAACAATGGGTGTTTATCGGTGTTGCGGAAACGGGTGTTGGTTCGCCCTTGTTTTTTGGTGTGGGTATTTTTCCTTTTTCGTATCTTTTGTATTGCATCGTTGTGATTGCACCTGCCTGTAACATTATGAAGAAATTACCTCAACAACCAAAACAAGAGAACCAAAGAAGCATAAAAACAAGATTAAATTTGATTTTGAAGATGGACTAGACTGAAGAACTTCTCGATCCCTGCTGCTCCATGTATTTCAAAAGGCAAATCTACTGCTTAAGCATAATTAATGGCGAGATAAAAACAAAAAAAAAGTGGGCTCCAGTAAAAATGATAGTCACAAAAATCTTGCCTTAACATCTCTTTCAGGAGAATAAGTATGGCAAAACCACAGTGCAACTTCCTCTGTGACATTCTCAAAGGTTATTGATGGATCTTTGGCCGATAAGTTCATGACATCAGACCGCACACTTTGCGTTGCTTTACTGTTAATTTCTGCCTGTAAAAGAGACAGAAGGTATAGCAAGTTGATGTCATAAATGTTTTTCGACCAAAACTGTTCAAAATAGTAGTTTAGTAGATTGTTAAATTGTTTTTAGCATGAAAGTACTAATTAAGGACACTATTTTTATGTCTCCTACTAAAGACAGGACTGCCATTTTAAGAGATCAGCCAGGGGCCATGTGAAGGTGTAGCCGTTTGAGGGGCAAAAACAGTAACCAATTACTTGTTAACCCTTTAAGCTCCAATATCCAAATACAAATTCTCCAGACCGATCTCCATACATTTCCTTATCAATAAAAATTAGTTGAGAGAATTTGTTTGAAGATCAAAACATTTTCTGTCAGCTGATCAATTTATTAATTCTTGCAACATTTCCTCTTTATTATGTATTGATATTGTTTGGAGAGATTTGATTTTGGTCAGTCACTCTTGGGACTTAAAGGGTTAATTATGAAAAATGACTCAAACATGGGTTCAAATGTAAGGGAAATGGGACTTAGTTCAAGATAGCAGGGGAGTTAATAATAATAATAATAATAATAATAATAATATTGATTGATTTGTATTGCACAAATATCAATCCAGGGAAAGAGATGTTTGACTCAACAAAATCCTAAGATCCTAGTACATATTCCAATTCAAAAAATTCTAAAAACAATGACTAATTAATCCTTAAAGTCCTATTTACAGATCGCACCTAATAATTATGTTAAAAATAATAAGTCTAAAATTCTAAAAACAATGACTAATTATTCTTTAAAATCCTATTTACAAATCCTTCTTTATAAAAAGGATGACAACAATAAATTAGCTGTGAAGCACCTTCTGAATGAAATAAATGAGTTTTAAGAGCCTTCTTAAAAGCATTAACTAAAGATATATTTCTAATAAAAAGGGGAAGATCATTCCATAATTTCCATAATTTCTGAGTTCTGAGTTCTGAGTTACCAGGGCTCTAATGTATTGATTTTATCCTGCAGACTAAAGCAACTTGTTCTTTGACAAAGCCAGCCTCAACTGACTGGAAGAATCATCATAATAATTATGTTGTGTTATAGTTTATTCTGATATTCTTACATAAGAAGGCTGGAGGAGAAATTTGAGTAATTCTTGGTCAGCATCCAACAGTAATGTGCAGTGGTGAAAAGCTACCAGTCTACCAAGCTTTGATGAAGAACCTGAGATGTTAACTCTTTGTCAAGGAGAAAATGTCACATCTTAAGTAACTTACGGGGAACTTTCTAGCCTTGATTCCAGGCAAGAACAGTTACAATAAGCTCTACTCAGCTTGCGTGACTACTTAGATGAAGCTTCTTTCTTTTGGGGGGAAGGTGAATCTCCATAAAAATTAAAAGTGGCAAGGGTGTTTGTAAAGGTAACTACAAAGACATGATATTATCATAATGGGCATGGCTCAAATTCACTGCCATTACTTAAGGTACCAATGCTGAAAGAAAAATCATTTGCTCAAGAAACAAAAAATAATAAAATATTTGAGTGTGTCCTTTTTGGCTGGATAAGGTAACACAACAACCCTACTCTGGCACCTACATCTTGTAAGCATGCAGTACTAATACTCAAGTTTTACACCATCAATTAAGGTACAAAGAACATTGTGGTCCCATTTTAAAGAAGAGTTCCCATACCCCTGCTGGGGGCCTCTTAAGCAATTTTAAACTATTGAGCATTAAATTTCCCCCGATTAAGCTTGAATAAGAGCTGCATTTGGGAGAAAAAAGTTCATGAGCACTGCCCTCAAGTAAGAGACACACTTAAGGCTTGGAAAATTAAATAAGTGCTGTGGCACTTATTCAAGTAAATACGACATTAATTTTGTCCTTGTTAGCATCATTTTTACAGACATACAAAAGTTGGAATTTTGTTGAACAGACTTGTCAATACAGTTCAACCACCATGTGCAGCCACCAATCTAAGACATTTTAGACAATTAAACACCATACACGTAGTTGGAAACTTTAGTAAACAGCAGGGTGTTCATTAGGCATCAGAGATCGGAGAATTCTCTGTTAACTACACAAAATTCTCCAGCAAATGTTCAGTAGCCTATGAGTATCTTTTATTCAGACATGTAGCCTCTTTCAAAATATTCTCCTGCTATGTTACACCTTTCTCCTGTTACTAGAATTCTTAGTGAAAACCCTGAAACAGTCAAGCACTTCCCATACTCTCATCAATTTGGGTGGTTGCTTACAGGTGGTTTGGCTGGAGATGAGTGTTAATTATTTGAAAAGGATATTTTGAATTTTCCATCAGCAAGAATGTCATCCCTTGGAGATGCTTGCACATCTAGTTTCCACCTTTCTCGCAATACTTTTACAATGAGAGCTAAGTTCTCTTTTCGGTTGTACAGATGGCGAGGAGTAAAGAATGATAAATTGACATTCCCTAAGTCCTATAAAAATGAATTGAAAAAGAAAGTGGAAAAATATATTGAATTTATCAGAAAAAAGGACATAAGACGTATAAAATCAATTTTTATTGCGGGAATTTTGACCATAGGATGTCATAGGATGTCAATAACTGACTGTCTATGTTTTGGAACAAGGAGTTCTTCTTTTACATGTTCTCATGGGAAAAAAAGCAATTTGTAAGTAAGATTTGCTTAATTTGTTGATGTTTGTGTTCTGGTCTATTTGTTTGACATTTTTGTTCCACAGCATTTTTGACATTAGCCAGACCTACTCGATATGCAAGCCTAATTAAAAAACACACTGTCTATGGCCAAGTGGGGAGGGTACTCAATTCAAAAGAATGCGTGAAGATAGGTCTATGTAGTCTTCCTTTTGTTCATAATTTTACGATGTTTGTTTGGTTTAACATCTATAAATGCCATCCATTCTATAACACAAGATAATTAATTCTATGGTCCCTTTAAAACAGGCTTTTTTTGTTAATAGTGCTTCATCTTTTCATTCACTTACATGATACACTGTTCCTCCTCCACTTTTCCTCCTTGCCAAGTGAACACTACACTGCTTAAGATTCTTTAAACTGCATTCAAACCATGGATTCTAAATGAATCAACCAGAAAATTGATCAGTGTAAGTCAAGGATATAGCACTTGTTGAACAATGTTGAACATTGAAAACTTCAATAATCTGGGAACAAACCTGGTGCCTTCCAATTACAATCTGAAAAACAAGACAACAAAAACAAATAACTTATCAAAATTTGCATTTGCCCACCTCACATGACACAAAGGATGGGTACAAAAGCACTGAATTCAAGAATAGGAAAACAAAATTTTTGGTGCTCACAGGTTTGACTGAGGGAGCCTCAACACTTACTGTGGGTTCATTTCTCCACAGGAAAAGAATTCGTCTGTTTGATAGATCCGCATTAAGATATAGCCTGTAACACAGAAGTGAAAATAAAACAATAAATACAATGTACAGAGGCCTAGAAAGACAACTAAGGCCCTGATTATTAAGGAGAACACCTGTTCAAGGTAGAAGGGTCACCCTTCCAGCCATACTTTAGAAAGCATTTATATGAGGAAAAAGTTGACCCTTTTGCCCAAGCCAACAGCACTCACGCATGCTCTGATTGTCTTGCCTTAAATGAGTTGACCCTGCTAGGCGGGCCAAACTGTTTATATGGAGAAAAGTTGGCCCAACTACAGGGGTGACCCTACCGTCACAGAAAGGAGACTTAGCAAGTCATGTCATCCTTCTAGCTGAGTCAACTTTTTCTTTCTCATGTTAACACTTCACCACATTTTGTGAGGAAATGTGTGAAAAGTTGGCTCGCCAATGTTCATTATTAGCTAATTTTCACAAATTTTGTCCCAATGTGATTTCAAAAATGCCAATGCACAAAAATCAAGGTTTCCAAATTTAATATCCAAGTTGCTCAAGCATTGTAGCCTCAATGGCTGTAATTTGTAAGTAAAAATAGTAGTAACCTTTGCTAGTTTTCTCATCTTTTTCTCTCTTTTTTTAACTGTTATCTGAACTATACTCTACAGGCTTAATCTCCAAATCCTCTTTAGCATTAGGCTTTATCTATGGGTTTCTTGTCTTCAACTCAAGTCTTTGCTGTTTTGCCAAATGTTATAGATTATCCACCGGTATTTCGTTCTCTAAAAATTCATAGTAAAATTAGATGGTTGCAAATAGAACTCTCTGAATTCTTGTGAGGTACATGAAATAGCTGCATTGTCGTGCATGTCATTATGACACGGACAATGGCTCAACTGCTGGCCTGACAGAACAGACTTTCAGTAAACAGACCACTTCCATTATCATTATTGTGTCTTTCAGACACATTCTTACTTCCCTAGCTTGCAGAAACACCTTTGCAGTGAAGATACCTGGACCAGTCTGTGTGGTCTCTGTAGTAAGTTCCAAACTTAAGACAAAATCCACCAACAAATTGAGTAATTTTAATTTTCTGTGGACAACCTTGTACCAGAATAATTTAAACACAGGGTTCTCAATAGAAGGCGGCACCCGGCGATTGATCGCCGCTTACTTTGGGATTTATAACCGCTTACTTTGTGTTTAATTAAGTCGCTTTTCTTTGTTTTGTTTTGACACCTCTGGCTTTGCTGAAGAGCCTCCTACTTTATCAGTGATCACCTCCTACTTAAAAATCTATTGAGAACCCTGTAAACAATATTGCATTCTTTTTTACACTTTTAAAGAGCTATAGAGTGATGTAATTAGTTATCTGCAATAACACCAAAGATAATTTCTCATGGGATCCCGAGAAAATGAATGTCAAAGTTCACAAGAATTGTAACAACACAGATAAAATTTCATGTGTAAGATGTCATTTTGTGAAATTTGACCTTTATTTTCTCATGCTCTCATAAAAAATTTCCTTTGGTGTTATTACAGATAGTTAATTACATCTATAGCCTTGAAAAATGTAAAAAAAAGAATACAATATGCTTTTAATTATTCTGGTACAAGGGTTTTGTCCACTGAAAATTAAAATTACTCAATTTTCCTGATGGATTCCCTCTTAATATACTTACCAGTCTTCAAAAGCTAGGTTTTCAAATGGATTATGAGACAAGGATTTATACACTGACACCTGAAATAAACAAACCCAATAAACCTCTATCAATTAAATCAAACAACAAAATATTTAAATATTTATTGAACAATACACTCTGCAGCCTTCCTGAAAATCTAACTTGTCTGAAAATCAGCAAGTACTATGAGTGGAAGTGAAAACTGAATGCCCTCTTTTGCCAATCAACTAGAAACACAACATACCACAACTAGTGATTATTGTTACAGATTCAGGGCTGCAAATAACAGTTGGTCATCGGACCCTGGCCGACCAAAATTGTGTCTGACAAAATGCAACCTGAGTTTGGACATTACGTCAGAGAATTTTTTTAATCATAAATCATTTTACAGTAAGGAAGCATAAAAATCTACCTAAATATAAAGTATGTCAAAAATATAAGTTCACCCTTTTTTTGGTGATGTCTGACCAAAATTCTATTTTGTCAGACCAAGATGGTGTCATAGTAGGACATATGTCCTCTCCGGAGGAAAAAAAATTATTACCAGCCCTGAATATTGGATGCTTTTAGTGCAAATTATCTATGACCATAATTTAGAATAATCCCTTAAAAAGATCACTCTTATAGTGTTAACTTGGGTGCAATGCTCTGGCAACTGAGCATGCAAAAATACCAACAAGCTGACTAGCATGTTATAAGGCTTACAGCAGATTTTGTTGCCAGTCATGAGTTGACAACTGATTTCTCATGCTTTCTTAAAAAGTGACACTTCAAAAAATGTTTGGACCATCCCCAGTGTTCATTTCAAGTTAGATAGCAAACTCAATCTGAAAAAAATGCTAAGCGGTCGCTTTTGATTGCTAAGGTATGGATTGCCAACTCGGTGCATTGCCTACATTCTCTGATCTCAAACAATTCACTGATGAAGAACTTCACAGCACATTTAGGTTTAGCCAAAACCCAAGAGTCAATAAAATATCTGGCAGAAATCCTCAAGGAAAATCTACACAGACACACGAGGAGAAACCATATATTGTCACCAACATTTATACAAGTTTTCATAGTGTTGCTTCCTTTGCTTGCTGCAGTGTTCTGCAAATTATTTACACTTTATCTCACTTTATAACTTTCCACCCTTTTTTTTTCCTTTTTACCCCCACTGACAACCACGCTGCGACATCACATATTATTTTTCGTGCTATGTTTTTAGTAGCAGGAGGTCAAAAACTCATTAAAACGGGTTTTTTTAGCACTACTCTGGGATTAGTCGCAGGATAATTTTGCTTTCAGGAACAACTTTTAAACCCACGATTTGTTATCCAGGGAATAAGAAATTTAATTGTGGAGTGACTGATAAATCGGAGGATAGTTTAATCCGCTTTTCAGGAACTGGGGCCAGGAATGTAATTTCCTTTACAGATTGCACATAAATGCACATTCCCAGACGGTCTTAGCTGACAGAATTTTAAGGCCTCGCTTCCTACAAACTGCCCCCTGCCCCCGAAGTAGTTTTGACACTCATGCACGAATGGCAGCCCGTAACGCAAAGCTCTCGATCTTACGGAAGAACGGTCGAAGTGTTTGTCCCATCCTCAACATTTAATTTTCAGTCTTGGTCAATATAAACAATCATTTATAAAACACTTTCCCAACATTTTTTGCCGAAGAAGCCAACAAAACATGGAACTCATAATAAAAATACACCTACATACATACATGCATGCTACATACATGTACCATGCACCGGAGCATTAGGAGCTAGGGACACAACCACTGGAAAATCTGTGTTGGAATGACTTTTGAATAATGCTTCTCAATTTCTCTAAGTAAACAGCTTTTACACTGTTTAAAGTTGCTTAAAATAGGAAAAGAAACCAAAGTCTAAGAGAAGCAATTTGCTTTCAACCCTAAAGGGGGGGTACTCCCTTATACAAGCTATATAGGTATATGCCGCCCCAGTTTTTGGGCTGTTTTGGTCTGAAAATGGGTATACACGTTGCCCATTTTGGTCTGGAATTGGGTATGGTTTTTTAGGGAACTACGGGAGTGTACGAACGTGTTCATTGTTTCAACTCCAAATGAGTGAGAAAGAAAGAGAAATATGCAAATTTGAAATGGATTTGAAGAACTTTTTTGTTTGTGCTCCAATCTAAGTTGGTAATGATAACCAGGAGCCCATAACCTGGAGTGAGCAACTTCCATGTACTCGTGTCACAGCATTTTCACGGACCAGTTTATTTTTAGAACAGTTTTGGCGAGAATTTAGAACATCTTTAAAGTCCCTTAAACCAGTCGGCAAAAACTACAGGCCTAAAAATAATATTTTGCGCCTTTTAATGACATTATGTTTTCCTTTTTGATACCTTATACTTCGAATGCCTTCATAGATGTGGCATGGTTATGGGCTCCTGTGATAACCTCATTTATGCCTAAAGGCCAGGTCTGAAAATGGGTATGGAGATCTGATGTGAAAACAGGTGTGGAAAATGACATTTTTTGGTCTGAAATAGGGTCAGGATTTGGAGGAAAGGGCAGCACTCTCCCTCCACTCTCTCCTCCACAGAGACTCCTGCTGGGTATCCATATAAAAATAGCAATAATCGAAAAAATAGAAAGCGCGCGGGGGGCGATTGTTCCTCGCACGCTCCCTTTTTTTTTCTCCCCAGCCTCCCCACAACACAAAGAGGCCTCTGTGGAGGAGAGAGCTCCCTCCAAGAATTCCCAGGAGTACCCCCCAGGCTTTCGACCCCACTACTTTCAAAGTTCAAAAAAAAAAATTCAAGGACTTTTCAAGGGCTTGCAAAGAAATCCAAGTACTTTTTTCAAAGAAATTCAAGGACTTTTCAAGACTGTGTGAATCTTGTTTAAAGAAACTTGGAGCTAAGATGGTGGAGTTGTCCAAAGTACATCACTGACCTCACCTTTCCAATGAGAACAAGCGCGATATTTCAGTGTAATTAGCCAACAACCTGTCTTCCGAGGAATCCAACGCATATTCTGTGTGGCGAATAGGTTTGAAACGTTAAAAGGAGACAACAAGCTCTAAAAAATGCATTCATTTTCCCACTACACCAAAGGGCACGCTCACGTTCTTTCCGCCATTTTAAAATTAGCGAACGCATGAGCATGAGTATAAATCCGCTAACATCCAGGAGAATGCAGGCGCAGTTTTGGAGAACAAGGAGGTGGCGGGGCGGGGCGAAGGATGTCATCCTTTTCTCGTTTTTTTCCTTTCGCTCTTGTATTTCATCATTTCATTTCTTTTGTGGTATTACTTTACGAGCTACAAATGAAAAAACCGGTCAGTGTAAAACACAGACTGCAGACTGTTGTTTTCACCGTGCAAGAAGCTTTCAGATAACGTCACCAAAACCAAGAAACTATTGATTCTTCTGAGTTTCTACTTTCATGAGGTATTACAGCACCTAAAAACCTTTATTTTCACGAATTTTCGGTTCCAAAGGTTTCTTCGTTCTCGATAGAGCACGCTTGAATTTCCAGGCTTTTGGGTGACGCGGCATTTAGCTGGTGCTGGCCGGGAAAGTTCTTGTGTGGGTAAAAAACTCTGCTGATCTTTTGGAGAATTTGCTATCTAAACATTCCTTGTCTCATAACAAATATTACTTTAATCTTTATGAGTTCCTCAAGCGATGAATTCACGTATAATATATTTGCCATATTTGTCCAAGGGCCATACAAAGCCTCATAAAGTTGGGTAAAACGTTTTTAACGAATATTTCGCATCTGAAATATCGCACAGACTTGATTCTCGGCGAGCCTTTTTCTATATTTATCTTCTTCCATTTACCAGATTCTGGGGCCCGTTTCTCGAAAGTCCCGGTAACTTTTCGGGCCCCAAATCAAATATTTAAATCAAAATATAAAGAATAAGAGCGCCGGTCCTGGCTAGCAAATTACTCCATTTTGTTTCATTAACTGATAGTTTTATCATGTTAGATGCAAAACTATTGAAACCTCAATCTTTCATGTAAACGGAGTCAGCTTACCGGACCCGTCAATTATCGGGACTTTCGAGAAACGTGCCCCTGGACTTTCTGTATTTTGATTGCGTGACAATCGTTATGTTTTCTAACCCTAAAAACAACAGTCCGCGGTCTGCAAAAAACCCACCAAAAAACCGCCAGTTACGCAGGCTAACCTATACCCAAATATTGGTTGAATACCCCCACCTAATGGCTAATGGCTTCGTCACGAGTTCCTTTCCCGCGTGACAAAGCCCTAAAAGTCTGCGCGGTAGGCTAAAGTCTAAATACAAATGTGCTAAACTGATCTTCATATAGTCTCCCTCCCAGCCGTTTTCTGGGTGTCACGCAGCGCCCCCTCATCCAAAAAACGGCTGGAAGAGACTAATCTTCTTACGTTTCTTTTAAAAATTAGTTTGGAGACTTAATTTAACAATCAAAGCATTTTTTCCTCAGGGAATCAGTTTACCAATTCTCTCAACCTTTTCTCTTGATTGGGCATTGATATGATGGGAGAAAATCGATGTTAATCAGTCTTAGGGCGTAAAGGGTTAGACTACGTGAGTGGGCGGAACACTTTTGAACAATGGCCAGCCAATAGTCTTCAGAGGGTTCATAACAATTGCTTTGTAATTGTCTGTGTATGACTTACATGCGACATCCCTGATTTGGTACTTAGAAATGTCCAAAACACCGACAATTGGTCGTAAAAATGTTCAGAAATCTCAACTCAACGATCTAGAAAGTAAAGACACCAGTCAGACCGATCGACGTAATGAATCCGAGAGAAAGCGCCGCAATCGATTCAACGGTTATATTGACGAGCTCGGGGGTTTCATAGCAGATAGATGCACTACAAAGAGAAGTAAAGAAAAGTCTTCGATTTTGAGACTCACGATTGAATATTTCCGCGAGCAGGAAAGAGCTGCTAAAAAAGCCCTGAAACAACCGTTTGGTAATGCCAAACCTGCCTATATCACGAACGATGAACTTTCCTTTGCCTTCATGGAATCGGCATGTGCTTTCATATTTGCCGTGGACCTGACTGGGAAGATTATTTATTCATCAGACAATGTATTCGCAAGCATCGGACATTTGCCTGGTCATATTATAAACCGTAGCGTATTTGAAATCATTCAGCCGAAGGATCAGCCTATTTTTCAAGGAATGCTGTCGGTGCTGAGGTCGGATTCAGCGTTAACCATGGTACCAATACCTTCTACTGCCGATGGTGTCCCTCGAATTTCTCAACGCCTTGAGCCGTTTTTGTGTCAGTTTTGCCGGGGCCCGCTCGGCCGAGGAGACGGTTTTGAATTTTTTTACTGTTTCCCAGCTATGATAAAGAATTTTTCCGAGGAAAAAAATGCCAAACCGGAATTTCCTGACTGTATTCATATAATGGCAAAACCTTTGAACAGAGTAGCGTTTAACACGACGCTTCTCCGATCAGACGGCCCACAGAGAGAATTCACCGCAATGCTGAACATGGAGGCGAAATACGACTACGTTGATAAACGTGTGGCTTTCGTTCTCGGTTATTTCCCTTTGGAATTGATGGGACGTTCCTTGTACGACTTTTGTCATTTCGAAGACCTCGATGTCTTGGCTGAGTACCACAACATGTTGCTACTGAGAGGAAAAATAACAACTTGCTATTATCGACACCTGACAAAAGGACAGTCATGGATTTGGCTTCAATCACGCTACCATATATCGTACAGTGACTGGAGTTCTAAGCCACAGGCTGTAACCAGTCTTTCATGGGCTGTCCCGTATGAGGAAGTCTGCGAGAAACAGAAAGAAATACTGGCACGCGATCGAGAGAAATTTGCTCTCATTCAAGAGGGTCTGGAGAGCGCGGATGGAAAGTCGATTTCTTCGAATGACTCTTCCAAGTTTTCCGTCGCTGATGCGGCAGGTGTTCCAAGAGAAAACGTTGCAAAACGGAGAAGGAGGACAGATGACTCATCCCGTTCGGTATCTGTATCGTCGATGGAAGAGATTCCTAGATCCGATGATTTAAAGAACAATAATTGCGAGGACAACGCTGATTTGAAGGAGAATGAGATGATTGAATTCGAAAGATTTTTACAGACACTTGACTTATCTAATGCAAGTCTATCAGGCGCACAACAAGACCTTCATAGGTTGCTGGTTGAAAAACACACGCGGCTTCTCAATGATATCCACAAACAGACAAAAAAACTTGAAGTACTTCAAAAACAGATCCAGACTCAAGGGGAGGTACATGAACTAATTGAACGATTAGAAGAAGCCAAAACTACGAACCAAAAAGAGTTGGAAATAGCCATAGCTAAAGAAATTCTAAACAAGTTTGAAGAAATACGTCGCGTTTCCCCGGGACCGCAAACTGAGGAAAATCGCGTCACGACAGGTGAACAAAGTTTAGCGAGTTCTTCGTCCAGACCACTTAAGGAAATTGGTGCTGTAAATAACCCTCACACATATCAAAGATCGCCTTTTATTTTGCCAGGAGAACAAATGACAGAAAATAGCGTTGAAAAAAATCGAAATTGCGCACTTACAGAAGAAGGAGAATCGTCGTTCCCACCTTGGCAAAATGACGTCTTTCTCCAAGATAACTGGATCCAAAAGCAAGCGGAGCAAGTTCAGTTACAGCAACAAGGAACGTTGATGCAACAAATATGCAACACGGGTTTTATACCACAGCAACAACCGTTAATGATGTTGGGGCATGTCGCACAGCAACAACAACAACGGATGGCATGGCAAGGTCATGGACAACTACACAACGAGGTAAACCAACTAAACTTATCACAGGAACAGTTGATTCAGAGCAACAACTTCAACTCATTTCCTCAGGAAGGCGGTTCACTAAACATATTCAATGACACATTTCTCGGTTAAACTTTGCTCCAAAACACTGTATATACCTGCTCATAGTTTGTTCATTTTTTGCACGAGCAGACGGGGAAGGGAAAGGGGAAGTCAGTTGTAAATTGCTAAATAATTATTTGATTTTTGTACCAGCGTATTTCGAGTGGGTGCGAGGTTTTGGTTTTCTGAGACCCGGTTTACAAGGGTTTAGACCAATTTTTGAACGGACAAATTTTTTATCTTTGCAACCTGTTTACACGGAACAATGCAAATTGTGACAGTAGTGTTAGCACGAGTCCGTACAATTTTTTTCCGGTGTTAGCATTGGAATGTCTTTTTTGTCAAAGGCGCATAACGACTGAATAAATTCGCGGATCTTTATTGCAGGGAGCGGCATTAAATTCAAAAGCAAAAAGCGCGCATTTCGGTGAAGTTAATAGGGAGCTTAAGCAACGACGACGCGGACGGCAACGAGAACGGCAAAAAAGCAATAGGTTTGATTAGCAAAACAACAACTTTGCACGTGCATCACGCTTTTTTTGTACGTTTCTTTGCCGTCGCTGCCCGACTACAACGTGAAAGTGCCTGAATTCACGTTTTGTCGAGGACGGGAACACAAGACAACAACTTTCTTTTCTTTTCCTGAACTTAGATAGAGTTGTTTAGAATTCAACTCCAAAAACATTTGCCACCATTTGACGAAGTAAACGAGATGGAATAAGCGCGATAAAGTTTGAAGCGGTGCGAATTCACTTTTTAAGTGACGTTTTTGTAGCCTTCACCGTCGTTGTTGCTTAAGCTCCCTAATAATAGAAATTTACGGCTTTTGGTTCGGCTCATGTGAAGTGCGGCGTCTGAATCAACGCCGGTTCACAGCTCGGCCAGGCGTGAAGATCCAAATTTAGACCGTGGGCAGTTTCTCTTTCTCTTTAGATTGATTGAGGGGAGTGCACACGCGCGAGAGCGCCGAGAGGACGCGAGAAAAGAGGGCGGTACAGAGCCCGAGAAGAAGCCTCTCCCATCTCGCGCTCTCAGTCACCAGCGTGGTCATTTTCGCGTCTCGCACGTTTTGATTGACGGACCAAGACAAAAGAGTGACTGTTCGTAGTTTAATTCCAAATTCGATTAGCCGTTGGAAATTGAGTCAGACGCCTTACCCATATGAACTGAACTCATTTAATTGTATTCGGCTCATGTGGAGTTTGGTGTTCTCAGAGTTTGAAAATTGGAACTGCTGTTATTGTATGCCAACATAATTTTTTTCGGGGCGAAGTCCTTTCGAAGAAACGAAACTTTATATTAGTTTGAAAAAAAAATAAAAGTTAGATGCATTTGATATTTTTTCACATCTTTGCCCATGTTTTCAGTCAATGGTAAACTGAAGTCCACATCCAAGGACACCCTATCCCGTATGTTTGTCCGTGGATTTTTCAGTATCGTGCCGACCAAACGGTCTGTTCCGACTTTTCTCTTCATCACGTGACCAGTCCTGGGCCATATTCATTGCCATAATGTGAAAAAAGGTGTACATGTCAAAGCGGTTTCAATGCTGGCTAGGCAACACTAAGCTTGCGTTACCGTTTCCTATGATCTTCAGGATGACCAGCAATGTTTCATGCAAGTCTTTTTGCTGTTATTCCCGAACACCTTCCACGCCGGCTATTTCGCCATTTTCTCGCTGAAAGTCCTGCAAACCGCCTGAGCACATAGCAGGAAGTAAAAGACATCAAACAAGCATTATAGAGCATAGGCGGCGTCAACATTACACTTACGATTTTGTCGAATCGGCACCACTTTTAAAACAGTTAATGTATGTGACAATAAGGGAAACGTTTGAAACGCAGTCGAGTCAACAAGGCCTATACAGTGGCATATTAACCTGGTTTCTGTAGTATGAAGCTTCTTGGAGCTAGGACGCTACATTTCCGGTCATAATTGTTGAAACACCCACCGATTACTTCACCCTTTGCCTTTCAAGTTTGATTTCGAAGACGTTTATACCCAAGCGAACACATGAAACCAGCACCAAAAAAAAACAACGACAACAATAGTCGGAAGCAATACGTCTACTCGTAGAATGACTTAGTTTATCTTGTGTTTCCGAAGTGTTTCGGCAAATTATGACCGGGATTGTATTCAAGGGCTACCAGTGCAGTGCATCACCGGTTCTTGTATAAACACCTGGATGAAAAGAGAAAAAGCAAAACAACATTCCCAAGGAATTAAAGCGACGTCAAGGCACTCTAACCTACAGAAAGGCGTCTTTGCTCCACCCTCGCTTTTCCGCGTGCCGCTCGCGCGTGACCTCTCGCGAGATCCTCTCAGGCCACTGGAAGAATCGTGATGCTGAAGCGATACTGCATCTAACACGATTTATTGATAAAGTTAAGTGCTATATTCTAGATAAATATTACAAGATGTGCATGTTACATAGACCAATATGAAACAGACTTTAAGTGATCGATACATTTCTCGCAAAACGACTAAATTCTATACCATGTATACCTCCGAGTCACTGCAAAGTAAGTCCGTCGCACGAATTCGGTAATAAGCGACCGTGCGGATATGACGCGTTTTACGATCCAACTCAAAGCGCAGTTCAAAACAGAAAAGACAATACGCAGCTTTATACTGCTACATGAGAAATTTCTGCTATTTGATTGGCTTTGAGCAGTGGTATTTCAGCTTAATTTGAAATACCTACATGTAAAAATTACAAAACCATTGCGGGTAGTAGTATAAACAATTAATAGCATGATTTGTACGTGATATTTGGCATAAATACCACTCGTGATATTTCAAAATTGTCTCAAATTTCACTCGCCTAACGGCTTGTAAAATTACTATAACAATTTCGAGATATCACTCGTGGTATTTATGCCAAATATCACTACAAATCATGCTATTACCTACACAAAATCCACGTCAAGTAGTTATTTTAAACACGGAACACAATGCAACTTCTAGCAGTAGCTAGATAAGGTTCACAGGAGAAGTTAGTAAAATCCCAAAATAAGAATTTTAACTGTTATTAATTCCTAAATATCCAGGGTCTAGGCATACATAAAAATGACTTTACCTACAATTCTTCCCGCAGAGTTCGACCCTACGAGCGCCTTACTACGCTATAAAAGGACTTAAACCTGAACTCAAGCGAATAATGCTTTTCTGTATTTTAAGGGCAGATGTAGATTTCTTTGTGTTCTTACGAACTCAGTAAATTTCACTTGCGAAAATAAATTAAAACAAATACGTTCTGAGATAAATAGTTCAAATGACATAGTTACAACTGTATTGACTGAAGTAAAGTCAGTCTACAGTCACCACGCCCCAAAATGCACATGTTGAGAAACACGTGTGGGCTATTCTGCTACTAGACGGCGAGAGCAGGCGTATTGATTGATAGTTGTCTCTCCTCTCCACCCGAAAAGTAAGGCCGCTATTATATGGAGAAGATCATTATACGTTTCAGACAAACTTCCCACCTAACCCTCCCCTAAGCCAACATTTTGCCCTAAGTGAAAACTAAGTGTTTATGTTGGCTTAGGGGAGGGGTAGGTGGGCAGTTTCCCAGAAACGTATCCCTCCTGGCTTTTAGCAAGCGTTTGTATGAGTAAAAAATTGCCCTTTTGCCCAAGCTAACAGCATTCGCGGGCATGCTCTGATTGTCTAAATGCTCCAATTGTCTCACTTTCAGCGAGTTGGCCCGGCTGACAAAGCCAAATTGTTTATATGGAGAAAAGTTGGCCCGGCTAGGAGGGCGACCCTACCATCATAAAAGGGTGACCTGGCTTGCCGGGTCACCCTTCTAGCCGAACCAACTTTTTGTTTCTCATGTAAACCGTTCGCAAAGTTTGTAAGCAACTGTATGAAAAGTTGGCTCGCCTAGGATGGCTCGGATTGGAGGGTGAACTTTCTATACGGGTCATCTTTTGGATCATTACATGTTTCTGGGAAACTGCCCACCTACCCCTCCCCTAAGCCAACATTAACACTTAGGGCAAAATGTTGGCTTAGGGGAGAGGTAGGTGGGCAGTTTCACAGGAATCCATATAAAATATATCAAATGTTCTCGCTCATTAACATTATGTCCATCACATGTGAAGTACGACGTTGGATTCTGGCCTAACTTCATTGCCTATTGAGTATTCGGGTGGTGAGAACCGACAACCGGAAATAAGTCTGTGTTTACACGCTTCTATGATCCTGATTGGTTTAAAAAATATTTGCTGAGTTTGACCTCACAAACACTAAAAATTAAAAGTTTTAAACTTACTTTAGCAAGCACACTTAAATTGCAATTCATGAAACTGACAACACCAAGCTGACAAAAAAGTCCCCTCTGACTAAGAATACATTATTTTCTTTCAAATGAAACTAAAACATCTTTTTTGGTAGGAAAACATAGCTTAACTCATAGTAAATAACGATACTTTTTCTTGTGTGAAACAAAATGCGAACTTTTACGTGATTATTCTAGACAAGAGCTCCTGCATGAGACTAATAGATCAAGTCCCGACCCTCCGATTAGAAAGTTTGCTGACAGGCTTAGTCCAACAGCAAAGAAATGTTTTAACGTAAAACACGCTATGGATGATGTAGCATGTTGTCTCCAACATCCACAGCATGTATTCTCGCTAGTACATACATATAAAAGTGCCACGCAGCTCGCTAATATTTTCCTGTTAACTGTTTTATAAGTTTGAGTTCGCCTACCAGCCAAGATGGCGCTAGAAAATAGAAAAAAAGTTCTACGGTGCTAATTTGTCTTGCACACTTAGTCGACTATTTCAGTCCACGATGAAGGGGTACGACCATACTGAAAGATAAAACAAGAGGATTTGTTTTGGTGCTTATTTACTGCAGATGACAATGCTGAAAGTCGAAACTCTAACAAAAAAAGGCCCGTCACAACAACACCTGGATGCTTTTTATCGTTAATTTACTCCCCACAGCCACCCCCCGCCACCCTATATCATGGCAACAAACGGCAGATGGATCCTCTACGCACACATGCCAGGTGCTGTAAACCTCCCCTTGCGATCACTTAGACCCATCCCTTTCTAGCGGGTGCCACCGAGGTGAAAAAGCTCCCCCCCCCCCCCCCCCATCCAAAAAAAAGCCTCTTCATAATCACCAAGCGCGGCAAAAACTAAGCTGTTTGCGAAACAACACTCACGCGTTTAGACGTCATGTTAACCCAATCGTTACGAGCTCACGGTGCAACGAACTCGACCAGAGTTACCCAACATTAGTCGGCCAATCACAGGCAATGTTCACCGCAAACGAGACTGCCTTATTGGGTTCGTCAAAGCAAAAAGAGAACTAGGCTCGATTTCGGCTGTCTCCCGGGGAGGGGATGAGTGCGGGCTCATTTTACCGAACAGTGACTGGTAATCGAGCCTAAACAAGAACATGATGATAGCCCCGTTGCATCATAGAGCGGTTTTCACTTGACTGTCGTAAAACCAAAACCAAAGTAAATACACTAGCCAACCAAAGGGCGTAGTAAAACCAAAACCAAACCAATTCCTCAATTACTTTCGACAGTCAAGTGAAAACCGCTCTAAGACTAAACCTTGTCTGAGAGTGTCAACAGCGCCGATTTTACCCACCTGAATTGCAGTCAGTTCATGATAAAATCTCTTTGTTACTTCCAAATTCTCCATAGTGGGGATCAAAATGTTCTAGATATAAAAAGCGAGAGTCAGCGGGTTTCAATAGCAACTGATGCGCGGGCATCATCCTGAAATCTTACACCGTATTAAAATGCCGCTTATAAGAAAAAGGAAGGGGTATCACCTTTAATTACCATATGCACCCACATTATTTCCGTGTTGTTATTGGAACAAATAAAAAGATCTATTGAAGCAGCATAAATACGTAGACGAAAAACTTCTACTACCGTAAAAAAATCTTCAGTGCAAAAGAACGCTATTGAGCTGACTGAGGGAAGTTATTATCCTTTCTTTGTTTTTGCTTTCCTTACCTGTCCCTCGTAAAGTATTCTGTTTACTGGACAAACTACACATGCTGTACCGGCTCCAAATATTTCCTTAACCTGCAAAGTTGACCACAATGAAATAGGGAGCTTAAGTAAAGGCATTTTTATTCGACGCACGTCAGCCGCGAGGGGTTGGGGGGGGGGGGGGGGGGTTGGGGGTACTCGACAAATCTGATCTTTATACGGGGAGGCTCTGCCCCGAGGGCCAACCCCTTACCCTTTAATATACCATTCACCACGAAAAAGGTAGCCCTTAGGTAGACCGTCTATTGACACATGGTACTCATTTCACATACCTTGTCTACAACTTTGCATCCCTTTTAACTGCTGTAAATGCACTGTCTTTTAAATAGGAATCAATCACAATTTTGAACGTTTTCCTCGACTTTATAAAGCCATAAAATTCATCTGTTGGCCCTTTTGGGCCCTTTCACAGACCCAAATGATAGATTTCCTTTCGGGCAGAGTCTCACCGTATAGGCCATCATAGGGAGTAACCCCCGCCTCTGGACGTCAACCTCTAGCCTTGTTTAGCTTAGAGCGGTTTTCATTTGAGTGTCGAAACGTAATTGGTTTTGCGTTTACTACGCTATGTGATTGGCTTAAAAGATTCGCGCCACTTTTTTATCCAATCAGAGGGAAAACCAAAACCAATTGTGTCACGCTCGCATGCATTTTCCCGCGCTTTGCGTCAGCTACATGTAATTACTTCGAGTTTTAATTGGTTCACTGTATTGTCTGTGTCCTTTGTGATTGGCTAGAGTAATTACTTTGGTTTTGGTTTTACGATACTCAAATGAAAACCGCTCTATATCCCTTACTAAGTTAACCACACTGATTCATTAAATCGAACTGGAATGTTCCTTTTCAAATTAAGAAACACAACTCGAGGACGAAGAAAACTGATGACAAATATAACTACAAGGTAAGTTGGAAGTTAAGAGGGCGAGCTGTCTCATCTATGGGGCTAAATGACTCTGTACCAGGAGCAAATTGACCGGTTAGCACTGAAACCAATAATAGGGGGTCAAAAAGGACAACAGCGGCAATGCCGCTTGAAGAAAAGGTTACTATGAAAATAAATTCGTGCTACTTTGCAACTATTGCACATGAGGGTTACACGTGAGTGGTACACCAACGCTAGACCGCGAGCGGTCGTCCTTCTTTCCTCAGAGCCACGCGCGGCGAGCGAAAAGGTAACTGCCTCGTTTCTCGTGCTCGCATTCTACCGTGTCTCTAAAGAAAAATATCAGCCTGCTCTGCTCGCAGTCTACACCAACGCGCATGCTGAGGTATTGTCTTCACTCACTAAGCATTTTGTGCCGTTTTATTGCCGTCATCGCTAGGTGTCTTTGCTACATATGTCAATGTTAACAACAGCCTCCCACGCTGACGTTTCAAGGGATTCGTCACACGTTCATCGTGGAGGATTGCATGGCGAGGCAAAAGAGCGTCTGAGTGAGAGGCTATGTTAACAAGTAATGCTTTTTATACCCTGTTTTCGTTTGATGCGCGGATTAAGTCATCCATTGTAAACTCCCTTTCTGTAACTTTGAATTCTCCCTGTGATAAAAATATTTAAAAAAAATAGCAAAGAGAACATTCAACTAAATAAGAGTTATCTGTAAGTTAAGTACCAGTAAGTCTGACTGGTCTTAGAAATGAAAGACAAAGAACATTGCATACTCTTGACACAGATTGCTTCGCACCTGATAGATATTGAGAAAAGCTTTTCATAAACCACATTCGGGCCACTCATGACGTATTTTGATTTGCAGCCTCTTTAGAAGACACTATTTAAAAAGTAGTAAGAAATTTCATGTAGAGAATAACTAACCCAGCTCTTGGCAAGTTCCAGCAACGATTTTCGTGTTACTCCTGGAAGAATCAATCCATTGAGAGGTGGAGTGATAAGCTCCTTTTCTGTGCAAATAAGAAAATGAAGGAAAGTGTTAAAAGAAACGCCGTTTACTTTCATCCACTCAATCCTTTCAGGCTGAAGGCTGTACATGTCTCTTACACTTGTTCGTGTCTTGTCGTGATCACAATTTGAATGTTTTACGGGAAAATTTATTTTAATGGAAAGCTACTCCAGGATATGACAGGCAATCACTACCCACATGAGACATTCAACTTGGTCCTCCCACCCAACGCACAGGACGGGCACTAAAATATCAACTGAGCTCAGACTTTACTGTACGATGATAACATAATGAGATCAAACACAACTTAGTTAAGTCTCAAATGAAAACCATGCTGGTCTGTGGTCGTCCATCAACAGGGCCTAGAGGCAGGGACTCTTCTTGACCTTTTTGGCTTGCACATGCATTCACTTGCTCGTTGGTCTGTGAGTAACGTCATTTTACCTCAAAATTTTCAAAGCTTCCCCCATTCCCCCCTCCCCCCTCTAGAAGTACCACATTTGGTAAGTAGTAGACTTTCAAAAAAGTCCTTCGTCGGATTTCATATGGCGCGCGACTTCGTCGCTCGCGGTCGGTCGCTTCGCGGCCAAACAAGGCTCGTTCCGCTCGCCAAGAGGTCGACTTGTAGCAAGTCTAGGTAAGTAGTTCCACTGACACCTTCAGTGTGATCACGCCTTTGGTGGCTATAGCCTTCAAACCGGCTCACTTGTGAGAGTTCAGAGAAAATTTTGGCGGTGTGCAAGGAAAATTGGTGCCCCAACCAACCACCCCCCCCCCACCAAATTTCACCCAAGGCTTGCTCAAGTGAGCCTGCTCGCAGACTATTTGGTTGTTGCCATTCACAGGGTTGCCATAGATACCTCCCTACTTCGGTCTGATAGCTACCTGGTTCCACCAACCTTTAAGGCACCAGCTCCAAAGCTCATCTATTTCGGACACGTTTAAACAAGAGATGGCAAATGTTTTTAAGCTATAGGAGGTAATGAAGTGGGAAAAACGCAGGTGAACCTCCAGACACTTGGCCATCCTTCAATCCCTTAGTCATGTAAGGGCCCCCAGAATGAGACTTGTGACAGTCTTACCTCCATTCTCATTAATCCAAAACATGAAGATGTTCATTGTTCCAACTTCAGTAATCTAACACAAGAAGATTTAGTAAAAAGCAAGGTACTTCATTTTAAACTTTAGAAGAAAACGTACAGTTAATATAATACAACATAGTTTTACAATAAGAAAAATAATATAATACAACACATTTTAAGGGACTTCTTGTAGACTGCTGCAGTGTGGGTCTTACACAGTTGCACCATGTTTTGAGAGACAGATAAATGTTACAAGTTCAAGGTTAGAAAAAGATAATATTTGAATTTCATCTTGTCCTTAGAACATGCAGGAGTTCAAATGCTGCCTGCTGAAGACTGAGTTGCATCCTTGTCATCCTTGTGGCCCAGCTTTACCAATCAGGCAAGACTATGACTCATTACATTGCCCAGTAGAAATAATAGGAAGAATAGGAGTATTATTTATCCTGGACTACTGGACAGGTCTTTATCTGAACCCTGTTACCAATTATTTATGAAAAATAAGAAACAGGAATGAGTTTAGGGCTACATATTAAGAACCATGACTACCAATCTTGACCTGGCACATTTGTTAATAATATTATTATAAATATAGTTCAAGTCAGGAACTTATAATAATGGCTGAATAATATGTTCCTTACAAATATATGTTGTGGTTCAATTTTATGCCTGGTTTATATTATATTTCCCTTTGTTTTGGGGTATGGTAATGTATGATAAAGAACAGTTTAATAAATTTCAAGCCAAGGATAAAACTGAACCACAACAAAGTCAGTTGGAGCCTCCAGACATAAACTGGCCAATCACAAGTCACATTAAAGACAAAGGGATCTCAGCCATAACTTTGTTAGCTTGTTCAATAGCCAATAAAAAACAAGGACATCGGTCTATAATTTATTCAATTTAAGTATTTACGGCCCTGGTTGAATTTTTATTTACTCTGTAAAAATCCTGACAAACGCTTCCTTCAGGAAATATCCCTACTTCCCCATAGAGGTTTTAATCCAGAGGTTTCAATCCAGAATCCGTTTGGAAATTCCAGTTTTTCCAATTTAAGAAAAAAACTATCCAACTTGTTTTATTCATAAGTGTTGTTTAAAGCTAAACTACAGCTTCTCACCTGCCGTTCCTCACCAAACAGCCATAGCACCTGTTGTAATCCTTGCATTTCTGCATGTCGCTGGGCAAGGATTGTAGGACCATAATTTCTGTTCATTGGTAAAGTAAATGATAAGTATTGATAATGGTATTTAAAGACTGGGTGAAGTCCAGTTTGGTCTGTTATTATACATTCAACTCACTATCTCTTTTCTGATTGGCTGAAAGCATACAGTGAATTTTCAGCTGATAACCCCTACATTGACTTTGATTATTCTGAATATCACAAAAACCTCATCCAATAATTGCTTATAATCATACGAGTGGTTCACAAAATCGGACAACCACATTGCGGGAGTCCTATTTGTTTAACCACAAGTAAGATTATTTATTGAATTGGACAATATGAAATTCTGTTACCAACATAAAATTTGTGGCAATTTGAGCTTTTCTCTAATTTAAAACACAATTACTTAGGCATGAAGCATAATGTACTATTACACCATCTTATTAATGCTGAAATCAGGGCTGCTGATATGTACCCAAAGGGTAGCCCACATCACAGATCTCAAGTGAAAAGTCTGGCTACAATACAAGGGGGTGGGCATGGGTATTCTCCAAAAACCCACAATTTTTACATTGCTAATGTTATATTTAAGCACTACCTTTATTAATTTTCACAGGGCAATGCAATTTTCAGTCCACCTTACCCTCCCAGTTTGCAGTCACCACAGCCACCAGGCCAGGCTCTGACGAATGATGGATCTGCCAAGAGGGCAACAGGGCTGAATGTGCCAGTCTTAAAGTATGGTCCCACAGGTGACAAAATCACATACAAGAGAGCAGATGAAGATTTGTTCACTCCAAGTGTGGGCTGAATGAAAAGAAAGCACAAGTCAGAAAAAAAAAAACATAATGTACAGTAATTATTATAATAAAAGGACACTTCATTAATTTGACAGATCCTGACCTTGCGGTTGGAGGGAGAAGTGGGGCGGCAAGGAGTAGCGAGCAATCAGGAAATACCCATACTAACCATACGTGCCTGGGTTTGGTCTAAAAATGAGGGGTTCCCCAGGCCCCTCTACTGCTGTAGAGGAACCCTTCTTGATAGAGAAACCCAATCATAAATAATAGTCTTCTTTGGCGTGATGAAACGTTCATATATCTTTTACATGTACATGAACCAGATGAAAAAAGAGAAAAAAAAATGGAGAGGAAGATCAAGCTGACTCTTGGATAGATCAAATTGTTCATCAGGTAGCCGTGTCACAGACGTAATCTACACATAACCTTGGTTAATAACGTCTTCGAAGCAGCACTGATATCCTTGTTCTTGGCCACCAACAGACACAACAAATTGCAGGAAATATGTTTCAAATTTCCCTTCAACCTGACTGTCAAACTGACAATGACAATGGCTTTTTTAACAGGCTAATCATAGTGCGTACTCAAAACCTTATTCACAGCTGGGGCCCCAAAACACAAGGCTTTCAGCACAATTCGCAAACAAACTTAACCAAAATTTTAGTTCAATCTGTGGCACACGCTGTTCGTTAGCTAATAATAGGTTGACCGCCAAAATTTAGGGGGAATCCACCTTCAGCAGGTTAAAAGGTGAGAGCCAAAGGAAGAATGTTCAATGAAACTTACCTGTGTTCCTATAAGAGTTGGCCTAATGTACAATGAACACTTGTTGGAATAAGGCACCCATTCTTTTTCAATGTGCACAAGGTGCCTTAAGCATTTCAGAAATTCTTCTCCATCAAAACCCTGCCATTTACGAAAATAGAGAAAACTTGAAATACAGGACAGTGTGCACAATCTGCTTGAAAACAATGATATCATTAATATATAAGAAAATAAATTAAATTGAATACATGTATAATATTAAATCCTGGCACTTCAAACATTGTTTGACATTTACTTTAACATGCAAAAGCATTACCTTAATAAAACCACAGTGTGTTTCTAAATACTGTACAGTCAAACCTTGTTAACTCTTTAAGCCCCAATATCCACATACAAATTCTCAAAACTGATCTCCACACATTTCCTTTAATAATTAGTTGAGAGAATCAAACAAAAGATCAAGGCATTTTCTTTTTGGTGATCATTTTATTAATTCTCATAACCTTATCTCTTGACTATGTATGGATATTGTTAGGAGAAAATTGATGTTAGTCACCTTTGGGACTTAAAGGGTTAATAAGGACACTGAGGGGGTCAACCAAGGTAGTGCAAGTATTAACGAGGTGTCTGTACTAAGTGGGTTGAATTTAGAGAAAATAAAAGGGCTTTCTTTCCCAAGGACAAAGCAAACTGTCCATAATAACAAGGTGTGTTCGTAAAGCAGGGTTTGACTGTACTAGAACAAATATTTAGGAAAGAATGCCATTATACATAATATTGATCAAAAGGGAAAGTAATGCTACAGGTGTCCTAAGTGCCTTACTAATCAATGTATGATCATGATCTGAACATCTTGACTGACAATATTTTTATTAATTTAATAATTCTTATCATTACTGCAACAAACTATTAAGGAAGCCATCAACAAAGTAACATACAGGTAAACAGGCTCTGTCAGCTGATCTATTTAATCTTCTCATGTTTTCCATGGGGCGAAATAATCTTATCTTGTTGTCATCTCCTCTGAAAGCCTTCATGCCTTCAAAACACTGAAAATAAATAGATATAAAATGTATAAAAATCACCCCAAAATAATTAAAAGGAGTCTATAGTCACTTTTTGGAGTGCTAGAAAGAAAATTAAAGCTGTATTCAATTACTAGTTTAATTTGCGAAGATCAACTTTCTCAACTGAATAATAGTTAATCGTAAACCTCTTATTAATACTATAACCATCTACTTTAGAAAAATCAAGTCACTTATCACTGGGATATTTCATGGTATACCACTTAAAAAGCATTGCAATAACCAGTATGTATTGTTGAAAAGAAGTAAGAGAAGTTTACCTCCAGTGCATAGTGTAATGTTGAACATGATGGTGCAAGAGACAGGTTTTGATATGGTGTGATTTTTGGCTCACTCCAGCCATTCTCAGCAGTCCACTCTACACTAAGCATGTGATCTGCGAACTCCGCACCAAACACTAAAGAGTTAACATCTGGTTTGGGCTTAGGTGACTTGATCGGTTCCACCACAAGTCTGTCATACTTAGGAAACAAGGATTATAAACAAAATTATGATAAAATTGTGAAATAATAGACTGCCTACAGTCCCCTTTTTTTCAGTAAGATCATCAAGAGTAAGCACTTATTAGTACTATGGCTTCAAATCCAAGTCTAATGTGGGGATCAAAGAGTATCAAAACTACGCAGGGGGAAGGGGGCAGCTCAGGAGGAGAAGTTATGTGAAGTTTTTAAGCACCACTCATTTGAAATTCCCAGATGCCCCCCCCCCACTCCTTCGGAATGACCAGGGTAATGTGGGACCTTTCACTTCATAATCACTCCATTTTTGTTTCCCGGTAGGCGGGCAATACACTATAACAACAACAACAACAAAACTTCATTAATAAACAAATAAAATTACAAAAGTATTGCCTGCAGCTACAACCCCGGACAAAACCTGTTAAGACAAATTGCGAAAATGCCTATTTTTCCCTATCATCCTTGCAAAAACTGAAACCTCCACCAAATGAATGCCCGATTTCCCCCTCCCCTTATCCATAGTTTTTTAAGATAGCATGGCAATTATACATGTTGGTTTTTAGACCAAGACAACTTTGAATAGGGGGTGGGGAGGGGGATTATTTTTTCTGTTTAGAGGAGACAGGAGTAGGACACAAAAGTTAGAAAATAGATGGAATTGTCTCAACAGTTTTATCTGGGGTTGTACAATGCGTGCAAAATATAAGAAATAAAGACTTTACAATTAGTTACAAATAAGTGAAATAAAAATCATAATATGGATGAGGACTAGATAACCGACTAAAATCATGGTCAGGCACTCTGTGGTCAGCATTCTCATTTACGCACCACATATAGTAATTTTGCATACATTTTGATCACTTCTTGCAGCTAAGAAAGTTGCTTTGTAAAGGGTGCAGGGGAATTGCCCATACATTTTGGCCCCGCAGACCAGATAATTCACTTGCATAAAAATTGAATGCCGCGGTCAAAAGCCGAGGACGGTGGCGGGGATACCCGCGCTTTAAATGACTGGTGCTTTAATTACCTCGGTCTCTGTTAGGTGTGAGAGGGTCAATTTTATGCCAAACCTTTGAAATCATCATCAACATCAAAAGTAAATCACATCAAAGTTACCTTTATATCAGAATCTGTGGACAGACATCGGACCTGAATGTTTAAAATGAAAAATGTTAAAATATATGAAAAATGTTTACGACAGCAAGATAATTTCTGGCTACATACATACTCCATTTTCTTTTTAAGATTGAAATTTTATTTTAAAGCGATTACCAATTTAACTCTAAAACCAAACTGAACATCAAATAGCTTCAAGCAAACGTCGCTATGTTAAACATAATTAAAATAGGCCTCTTCGTCACGCAACGTTACCTAATATATTCATTTTTCCGGTGCATGTTAGCCATTTTCAATTGTAAGCTTAAGCTTATAAATAAGCGTATAAAACCGAAAGTAGCAACCTAAATGGAAAATTAACGATGATCATTAACTAAAAATGCAAAGAAAAGAGTCCTTGCGTATTTTCTGTTATTATGGTCACGCAGTGGAAATTAAATCCCTATAAACGATCAATTGATCGAGACAAAAACAGAACAAAATCTGGCTAAATCACCGGCTAAATCAATCTCATCGTCCTTATCGAATCGTGAATATTCCAGAACGTTACACGGCCTAATTGGACAATAAAATAATTGAAATGAGAGCTAAAACACTCTTACCAGAAGCTGAGAAGTAAAGCGATTATTCCTCGCTCCCTTTGGCGCTAAAAAACGTAAAGAGCCGGCACAAACGGATAATTGTTTTGCACAACGGGCCGCCATTTTGGAAAATTACTTTGGTAACAACGCGGGCTCTCCACTTTTGTCCTGTTACAACACGAAATCCGATTGGTTGCTTCTGTGGGAGGGAAGGAGGCGGGGATGAGAAAGAGCACGGCGCGGATTATTTCCGGTTGGGTGTTGAAGATTGCACGAGTTTCAGTAAGATAATTTCCTGTCGACGGCAGTGTCGCACGTACTTTTTGTTACACAGTCTGATGGAGAGAAACTTTCCCTGAGAGTAGGCCCAATCTTTTACCCGAGGCTCAGATCCTGGTCCTGAATTTTACAATGACCGGGGGGAGGAGGGGGTTGGTAAGTTAAGATTTCTCGACAAGAAATTAGTAAACATTGCTGATAACAAAGGCTATGGTCAATTAAATGCCCTCTTGGTACCACAAATGTAAATGTATTTTCTATGCTGTACAACTACCCTGTACGGACAATCTTATAACAGGCAGAATTGAAAAATGTTTGTCTGGAGCCCTTACGGCTTACCTGACGCCAAGGGCAATCATGCCCAGTTGTATAGCGAAGAGCGCGTCAAGAGTTGCTCTTACCCAACGTAAAGGGGAGATGTCTTACGGAGAGCTATTCCTACTCAGGGGCACCCAACGAGAATATAGTTCAAAACCACTTAAACATAGCGTTGTTAAACGTATTTAAGTATTTAAACGGTAGATATAGGCATATTTTTATCCCCTAAAAATTTTTCATCTGTTCGGATTTCCTAGCTGAAAGTCTCGAGATCCGAAAATCATAGGGATCAAAACTTACCTTTTCGAAAATTTCAGCCAGTAAAAAGGCTCCCGAAAATTCTAGGTGAGCTTTTTAGGGTAAAAATCCGTTTAAAATGGGCAGTTACACCAATTTTTAGATGTTCGAAAATCCGAGGAGATGTAGGCAAGCAAGAAATTTTATAAAAATGTTCCGAGAATTCTAGATCTCAAATCGTCTTCCGAACAGATATTTTCCGAAAATTGACGTTGGGTGCCCCTGCCTACTGCTGAGGTGACCTACTTTATCTGATCTCAAAACTTAGTTATCCTTAGTGTCTTAGTGGAGTGTTACAAGAGATTCATCGTACAGAATCGATCGTCTGGGTTTTAGATCTTGTCAGCAAAATTTGCAAAATTTCAAGATTTAGAAATTTCAAGATCTTACCGGCACGATTTCCAGACGGCAAGATGCGGCAAATTTAAAGTGGGAAGAATTTGAAAGTTCAGGAACTTGCCGGTAAGATTTGGAAAATTCAAGCTCTTGCCAGCAAGGTTTGGAAAATCATCAAGATTGGAGGCATATTCGTCATTTTCAAATTGCGTTTTCGTTTGTTGACATAGCTTAGATTCTCCAAGTGCCCAAAACGCTGTTGGCCAAGTAAAATCGAAGAACATGAAGGGGTTCATTGCATAATACGATTTTGGTTTTTTCTCGCACTTCCGGTGGTCTACAGGAGACGCAGTGTATTTTGCTCGTGGAAACTTAGAAATTGCGTTATGGTTCCCAGACATAGCTTAGTTTTTCTAAGTGCGCAGGCTTTTGAAAAAAAGTCAAATAATAATCATAGCACAAGGCTCTTTACGTGCTCTTTCATTAACAACAAATTATATTAAAGGCTTATGCTAAGGCTGGGATTTTTCATTTTCATAAACTGCGAACAGTCTCTTGTTTCTATTTGAGTCATAGCATGCAGATGGGGAGCACATGACAGGGACATAATTTTACATTTTTCGCTCAGCGCACTTAGCTGTAAGCATCCTCGGAGACCCAGGGGCGGTCAGTCGGGCCGGGAGAAAAGGCGTGACAAAAGTTTTCAGGCACAGGTTGAAAACTTTCGTCGCGCCTTTTAACCCGGCCCGACTGACTCCCCCTGGGTCTCCGAGGATGGGCTGTAAGAAAAGAAGTACGAACGCTTGCGGTGTTAAATTTTCTTTTTTGTAGGTGCTGGGGCTTGGAAAGTAAGGTGAAAAATAAACTAAACAAATCATCTGACACCAAGTAAAATGCTTTTATTTCGTACAAAATTACATATGTATCATATGTAGATAAGCTTAGATACTGTCAAAAACATTCCACGATGATTCGTTGCATTTCAAGTATTGATTGAGAGCTGTAAATAAAAAGAACCAACAGTTAGTTTGAGAACACTCTGTAATAGGTCATTTGCACGATGGCGTCATTTTACTACTGCAACCAGAATCCCTTTCGTTTTTCCTTCCATATTTTAATTTGGTAATCCCACTGAGGTTTAACTAACAAAAGCCCTAATTTGCACAAAAAAATTAAACCCTGAAGGATTATGGTCATAGTAATAAAATGACGTCATCGTGTAAATGGCCTATTACAACAATACAACCTGCGTGGCAAGTGCACTGTAAATATAAGACGAGAAAAAAGTGATGAATGCAAGGTAGGTTCACACGCGTGTCCAATTATTTTCGCGTTCCGCGCCGGCCTCCTTCTGGTGCACGTGCTAAACAGGCCAAGCATTGCATTGAATCCCCATTAACCAGACACCTAATGGATTCTTTCGCGTCCACATAATAACGGTTTGTTTTCTTTTTAGAACAATGTGGAAACAAACATATTGCACTCACCGATGTTTGTGTCAGCTTACGAACACGGAGTGTCTGCTTATAATAGGGTTTGTCTAATATCACTGTCATTGGATGCGGCAGGTGATTTTTTCCCTACTCTCCTTTGGTTTTCTATAAAGCTGCAGAATGCATTGTAGTATTTCCTAACATTACGGTCTAATTACCTTACACCCTTTCGCCAAAACTATGATAAAGCGAAATCTTTATCATTGTATTAACCCTTGCTGGTGTCTGCTTAAGGGAGATGTCAGCTAATTACGACTTAGTAGCTCTACTAAAAATGGGTCGAATAGTGTAGGACTCACTGAAAAAGATTTCAATATGCAAGTAAACGACCATAGCAACATTTTGTTAAAGGATCATTCTTGCAGTGTGGGAATCTGTTGGGGCAAAGAAGATAGCTAAAGACAAAATGACAGAGTCTTCAGTCGAGCCACGAACACTGACATAGTTTGAAATATGAGTGTCGAGCTATTTTAAATATTATCTTTATGTTTTCCTAACGTTGTTATCCTTACGGTAATCTTTGCTTTGTAAGGCTTCAGAATAATTTAAGTTCTTGAAGAAACGAACCTGATATTTAAGGTGGACGGTCCATTTCCAAAGCCTCCACTCTGTCCCAGTCAAAGCCGTGAAAGAAAGCATGATCTCTGATGGAGGGGTAATCGCCTCCTTTATATCCAAGACGGTCTCGCGGATATTTCTCTAGTAACTGGGAACATAAAAAAATGTAAGATGTCTTGTAATATCGGTATTTGATATGAACTTACACATTTTTGTTTATTGAAATGTTATGTCTTTATGGTACTGCGTAACAGAAGTCAACGTTGGCTTGGATTTAGTCTGATATTTGTAGTCTCCACTCATTAGAACATAGAACAGATTTCTCTACCCTTTCATATTCCTGAAGCCGGAAAAAGGTACCCCTTTCCGCTGGGGCCATTATGGGGACGACCCGACCAGGGGGCTTAAGCTTCGGTCAAAAGTGTTGCCTCTATCGTTATTGACTTACAATTGATAGGTACGTGTATTGTAACAAAGAAAGGTAACAAACAACCTTTGTTCGTCTGAAATACACTAAGTTAAACTTAATCGCGCAAAGTTCTATCTAATCTGCAATAATTTTGCTCGTTGCACTGGACTGTTGTTTCTAATGTCACTCATTGACAAAAGCCAAGAGTAACTATAAATTAAACTTGCATTTCACCAGGTCGAATTTTATCTGACCATAACCTGAAACCTGTCTCTGCCTCGAAAACTGATTCATGTATTTGACACTTACATGTAGAAACAATTCGATGGCGTCGGTGGAAAGCTCAGCTATTGTGGCTTTGTCCGGTTGCTGTGGGTTTTCAGAAACGATCAAATCGAATAACTCATCCTCCGATTCAGCATCAAACGGCATCTAAAATGTAGACACAAAGGATGAAATTGTCAATTTCGAAGATCACCATCATATAGGCAACTTAAGTAACGACGACAACGAAAGCGACGAGAACGGCAAAAAGCAATAGGTTTCATTAAGCAAAACATTCCCCTGACGTCGTCGCACGCAGACCACGACGTGGAATTTCCTGATTTCACGTTTTAGGACGTGAACACAAATAAAGTACTTAAGAGCTCAATTCCAGACAAATTCAACAACAACTGACAATTGAACGACATGAAAAAGAGCGCTGAATTTTGAAACAGGGCGACTTCACTTTTTAAGAAACGTTATCGCCCCTGTCGTCGTTATACGTCGTTGCTTTAAATCTCCCAGTATTATCATCGTCGTCGTCCTCGAATGCAGAAGCTGTTGATGTTATTTTAAGCAGGAACTTACCACTCTTCTAAATTTAATCATAAAAGATCACAACACTATATCGTCATAGACCCCCTACTCGTTTTTACCATGGTATGACATTTTAAATCGAAGTACAGAGGATAACAGTTGGCACTTGTATCCTGGTTTAACCGCTTTACCCTGCTTGAGTTCCTTGTCATTTTGAAGCTCTTAAAATTGTCAATTCCAACACCGAACTACACCCTGTCTCATTCTATGTTCGATTTCATCGTTTTTCGTGTTAAGAACAAAATCACGTAAAATACAAACCATTCCAGTGAGCATCGTAAACACCATGACTCCAAGCGCCCACCAGTCCACACATGCGTCGTACGGGTCAAGTAAAATAATCTGCAACAAATAACACCTTGCACTAAGCTAACATCAGCACGATAATCCATGAAACCAAGACGAGCTTCTCCTTAGCAAAAGCTCTTACTACGAGGTTGGTGATTTAGTGTTAATGAGTGGATGTAATGTAAAGTCAGCTTTGGGAAACTGAACAGCTCTTTCTTATTCCAGTGTAGGTAACATTAAAGTATATATCTCGTACAAGAAAACACCATAGTTCATAGCCTGTATAAAGATTTGTTTTAGCGTTAATATCAGCACTGATTAAGTGAGTAAATGGCAGAACACCGCCTTAACAGGATCTAATTAGTCTGTCCTTGTTAGAGCCCTGTCCAATTTTCCTGGGGTTACTTCGTATTTTGAACGAGTTTTTTTTAGCTCTTTGACGTAACGTGTTGAAATAAATGATTGATTGATTGATTGATTGATTAACATTTTGGACGGTAGTTCTGAAATGGATCCTATATTAGGATAGAATAGATATTGACCAAGTCGCTACACGACAAGCTGATTTAGAAACTAGGTTCTTCACAGGGCTTAACCAATGCTTTGTGGCTGAAACAAATTCTTTTAAGTCTACAGTTTCAAGGTTTACCTCAGGAGCCATATAAAGAGGTGTCCCGATATATTCTTGGTTGGTGATCTTTTCCTCTCTAACTGGGTCGATGATAGCGGACAGCCCAAAATCACTGATTTTAATGTGCCCTCCTCTGGTCAACAAAATGTTTTCAGGTTTCAAGTCCCTGTCATACGATGAATAAAAATTACACGAATATTAGAGACATTGATTGTTAAGTAAACTGAGCCAAAAGTGGTGTGATATAATCTTCAAGGCGACCAGAGTTAACCACAATCAAACCTCTCTTAAGCTGCTGCTCTCGGGAAAGGGATAAGTAGCCACAGAACAGTAAAATCAACTTTCTTCACACATGCAAGGACTGTGCAGAACGCCGAGCCCTGTCGTGATGATACAAAACGATCCAGCAAACCATTACCTTCCTTTTACAATGATTTACGGCTCACAATTGTCAGTTTCCGCCCCGATGTAGGTAACTGGTGGCCGCGGTTTAGGAGGCCGCTAAATTAACGCTCGACAGCGTCAATCCATTGCTTTTTTATCTTTGCCATATGATGTACCTTGAAGTGATCGAGATTAATGTCTAAGTGTGGATTTCGGGTACTTTTCATATTTCTTCTCACCTGTGAATGACACCTTTTTTGTGCAAAAATTCCAACCCAACAATCATCTCAGCCGAGTAAAACCTAAGAAACAAAGAGTAATAGGATGTTTTAATATACTAGGTCTCACTACCATGATAAATAAATGACCTCACAAAAGCTAATGGTTTGCACAGTACAATTCCTAAAAAAAAACTGCAATTAACGCTGTGTTGAACTGGGTAAGCGTATGTGAGATGAAGGCATGTTTTGATCACTGATCTTTCGACAGAATTATTTTTTTTGCTGATTGGTGCATCCTCAGTTCAACTTTGTAAGGTTATTGAGTAGAACTCAATTGATAGAGCCAGTCGTTATTAAAAGATCAGTGGTGTCAAGCGGAGTAATTTACGATGATTTTAACCCAGTACCAATGGCACGCGTATTACTAAATCTTTACTTGGTATTCGTTCCACGGCAAAACTTGACCAAATGTGATAAATTCTGTCCTGTTTTATCTCACTGTCACTTAAGCGACTGTTTTGTTAAACGTTGCTCGAAAACTTTGATAGAAGTATCATTACCTTGTTTGAGGTTCGCTATACCATCCCTGGTGATTCAAGTCTGTTCCGAGGTCTCCTCCATCGATGTATTCCAAGATAATAAAATGTCCTGGATACTTTAACATGAACATATGAAGAAAGTATTAGTTGACCCAAACATACTTTTTTTTACGTTATTGGCTATAAGTAAGAATAATGAGACACAGAGAGAAACACACAGTGTAGCCATTTCAAAAATAGCACAGGTATAATACACCTTATACTACTATGGGGAAATTTCTGCAATTTGATTGGCTTAGAGCAGTGGTATTTCAGCTTAATTTGAAATACCTAAATGTGATAATTGCAAAACTTTTGCGGTTAGTAGTATAAACAAATAATAACATAATTTGTACGTGATATCACTCGCGGTATTTATGCCAAATATCACTACAAATCATGCTATTACCTATACAAATTCTATCGGAAGGATTACAGTCCCCTATTTTCCTGAAAGATCGTCAAGATGTTCAAATGTCCACCTGCTTTAACTGGCGCTCATCTTTGCTTCATATTTACCGAGGGGGCGTTGGGTTGTTTAGCGGTGATGGGAAGGATTAAAAATTTTCTGAGAAAATTTTAAAAGTATCATACCGGGTTCTCAACCTCTTCACAAAGTCTTGTTACGAAAGGACTGGACGAGGCGAGGCTCAATACTTTCTCCTCCACACTGCTTGGGTCAGGTTCAATTATCTGCTTTACCGCGTATTGCCTCTTGGTGCGACGGTCCACACAAAGACGAACCTATAAAAAATTGACAGGTATTTTGGAATAGGACACGCTTTCAGATGGAGCGGTTGATAGGCGCGGTCTTGCCGGCCTTTTTTAGTTCAATCCCAGTGGGGTTCGAAAGAACTCATGTTACAGTGGAACCTCGATTTAACGAAGTGCAAAGGGACAGGGGAAATTACTGTAATTTTGGCCGGGCTGAAGAAAATCGTTCGTTATACCGAGAACTTCGTTATATTGAGGTTCGTTAAATCGAGGTTCCACTGTACTCCCTTACTCGAAAATTATTCCCAGAGATCATCCACTTGTTGCAGAAAGAAGGAATTACACAGTCTATATTATGTGCACCTTTGATCTCTAATTAAATTGAAAAATGGTTATTAAAAGAGCGTACACTTAGCAAAACAAAAGAAAGAAAACAGGGCTTTTCAACTTCTTTCATCATGCTTTACAATAAATTAATAGATAAATTATTTATTTAATTAATTTATCGACTAATTAATGAATCCCTTTTTCTGACAATGAGATCCTCGCCGCTCAGGGTACTCACAATTTTGTATAACATTAATATGAGATTTTACGAATTGTTTGAGATAACTGTTTATTCCCTCTGACAGTCCCTTACCTTCCCAAAGGCTCCCTCTCCAATGGAAAAGATGCTTTTAAGATTGTATAAAGAGATCGACCTTCTTTTTTTCTTTCTCTTAATATCCTTTAAGTTGCTTTCTTGTGATCTTCTTCGTTTTACAGGGCACTAGTCAATCAAGATGGATGAAATAAGTTATGACTATGAAAGGAGTCTTGAACGGGACTTGGCGATTTACTATGATAACTTGAAGGTGTATAGTTTTGTTAATGAAACTTCAAGAGAGGATAAGAGAGAAAATAAATGATATGCTTTCAAACACCGTAATGGTTACTTAATCCTGTGGTTTTCTCTTTTAGATTTTCTTATCTAGTCTATTGCACAAATAACCAACTTCAATAATAATCAACTTTATTTAAAGAGGGTAACACGGGACAGTACTTCAACAGAATAACCAGTGGCCCTCAAATATAAAATTAATACATTTTTAGTTGTGACTGAGTTAATATAAACAACATGCAAAGAGGTTTTCATCTTGTGCACCAGAGATTTCTGTAACAGCTGAAAAAGGCCTTGAAAACCTTCTATCTGAAAGTTGTCATTTGCGCTCCGTAAAAGACAGTCAACTGTGCAGTTTTTGCTAAAAATGTAGGTTATTAGCTAAACATAAGGTTAACAAAAACTGATATCGACTGCTTTCATAATCATTTTGTTTACTTCTTGTGTTCGACTGTAAAGTTCCAAAAACCTCATAAATATTAAAGAAAAACGTCGATATTTCTAAGCCTCATTGGAGACAGGCCCACATCACAGTCACAAATGACACAAAAACATGTTTGCGAGAATAACTTGAAGTAGGTCGTTCATAACTAACAAGCAGTAAACATACTTTTTGACTTTCCTTTTGTTTTTTCTCTGGTTCTACAGTTACTTCTTTAATTTCAGATTCACCCGTTGAAACAACTCTGATGATAAAAATAGATAAAACACAATTAGCTACAGATTATACTTCATATGAAATAGCTTTAAGTTTCGAATACAATATTTAATGCATATGCACTCAAAATGTCTTGTACTCGCACTGAGAAAGTGAAAATCATTGAAAATTAATTCAGTTATCAGTTATTTGCTTGCGTGAGGCAGCACGCGCACTCCTGTTTCACACCTTAGCTAGCCTCGTCCTCAGGCTAGTTCGTGCCCTCCAAGTAAAACGAGGAGGCTTGGAACGGAGGGCAATATTCGGACAAGACTGACAGATGACGTCACAAACGAAAATTACCGAGGACGACTGGCAACGACGTTGCGTCTCAGCTGCTGACCAAAGTGAAGCCGGACTCCTGCAAACACTACGTTCCTTTAGGTCAGCACCACGATTGTTACAAACGGTTGCCATGGACGATTTTTTTTGTTTTCCAAAACAGACAACTTACAGTAAATACCACTAGTAAAAAAAATAATATTTTACCGAAAGTTAAACGATCTTTCTGACATAAAAACAAGTTTCTAAATATTAAATTGTGATTTTGTAAGAGCTAAAGCAACAAAATTCCCTAGTTCACGAAGTGCGTTTTTTTTTTCAACTAGCCCAGAAGTTAGCACAAGAAATGTCTAAAACTGTTCATTTTTTCACTATTTCTTTTTTCTGTCGACTGTTTCATGAATAGTTGTTCTCTTTCTACTGTTTAAGCTTTTCAGTAAGTTGTCCTCGTTGGATTATTGAAACTGATCAACACGCGTCTCATCTAAGTTGGCCTTGAAATTGATGTTAACTCGAACCGCGAAAAAATAAATTCTTTGTCTTCAAAAGAAAAGCGACTAACTACTTTCTTACCTTTTTTCACTACATTTTCCTGTAAAATACTGAAAAACGCTTTGTAACACGCAATAGGTAAAAATAAAAGGCCCTATAACTGGACCCGGCTTCATCGCTGATCTGTACGGTGATTCAACGAAAGATCATAAAGAAACATCCAACTCTGTTCTTTGAAATGGCGTCATAATAGACATTTACCGCGCGCGAGCAAAAGAACTTCTGTTCCAAAGCTGACGAACAGTAAACGTTTACTTAATTTTTTGAGCGTATTTATTACGTAAGGTACGTTTTTAATTGGGCAGAGGATTAAAGCTTTTTTCCCTGAAAAATTTCCTAGACTTTTCCTCTTCCTTACCTGTGTTTTAACTTAACAAAGAGTCGATCGGTTCTTGGTTACATGACCTTCCCTTCAAAGACAAAAAAAGAAAAAACAAACAAACACAAACAAACAGAAACAACACCACCAAAATTGGGACTGTCCCTCATTCCTATATTTTTGTTCTTTCTAGTCGCTGCCCTTCATTTAACTTCCGTTACAAGAGTGGGGATCAATCCAGGAAATCTGACTCTCTTACCATAACATGGGCAAGCAGAAAGAATGTTCCACGAAAAAAACTGTTTTTAAAGAAAAAAAGTGACAAAAGAAATTATTGTCTCCCTAGGAATTTCGGAGACGCCGAAGATGAATTGCTTAGGACCACTGAGGCCAGGCTCCTAGTGGGGGAGTAAAAGTGAAGTAGAGGGAGATTTGCGCCGTTTAACATTCGCCTTTTTCGCTCCACCAAGGAGCAAGGTAAAGGGCGCCTTTCTCGAAAATCCAGGTATATTATATATCAATGCGGGGCTCGAATTACTATTGTGTACATTATGATAGAGTTTTCAATAGTTTTGGAGATAACTTGAGCAAGGATCCGCACGCTTCAGTCTTCTTAAAGATCTTTGGATGAATTTTTTATTAAGGGCCCGAAAATCGGCCACTGGTCCTGGGCTATATCCCGTAGATGCCGAATGTCTCTATAGGACTAAAATATCAATTACTTCTTCCCTTTTAAATTCTCTTCATGTTTCTCAAGAGAGCAAACTTGTAATCAGACCCAAGAACTTGAGGGCATATATCCTGCGTAGCAAACGTTTCCGTGCGGTTTCGGAGAAAAGAACGAGGAACGAGAAAATCCTGTTCTATCAACCCTGCGAGGCTTTAAGAAATAAAACAAAGAATTCATCCGAGGCTCAGCAAAATATTTCTTTAGTTTTATTCTCCCAAGCCTCGGAGTCAAGTGTTAATTTTACAGGGTTCGCACAGAATTTTGGATCCATAATTCAAGACTCTTTCCAGACTCAAAGTTATCAAATAGGTAATTAATATAGTGTTTTCACATGACTTTATGGCAGCCATATTGGTGTCCCAAAACAATGAAACGGCGGCCATGTTGGTGTCCCAAACTAATCCTGTGGGAGTTGGACTCTTTTCCTATGCAAAAACGTTCTTTTGTTCCAATAAATTCGCATAGATGATTTAAAAAATGCAGGAACAAAGCTTTTTTGATCCAAAACGAAAAATAGTTCACTTCGTAAGCACTTGTTCTCGCTCTGAAAAAAAAAAAAAAAAAAAAAAAAAAAACTCAAGTCTTTTTACAATTTTTCCAGACTTCATCTCCATTTTCCAGACTTTTGCCAGGTCCGGAAAATTGCTGGGCAAATTTCAAGACTTTTTCAAGAATTACTCAAAGACTCTGTACGAACCCTGATTTTAATATCTCGAAATTGCTCGAGACACTTAAAATAAGGTATTAGATCTGCTACAAACCATTCCAGTTGAAAAATTCATTTCTCAAAATAATAAAGAATTTTTCAAAATAAAAATTACACAGGTCTATCAAGCGAGAGCTGAGCTTTTAGAAAACTGATATCCAAAGTGTCAATTTTCACAACTAAAGGTGTGACTTCCGATTTATGTCGAAGGCTCAAAAATTCAAGGAGAGCATATTTCTGGCTTTCTCTCGATAGCTAGGAATAAAAAAATATTGGAACTGACTTATACTTAGATTGTTCATTTACCTCTAAATTCCCGGCAGTAGACAGTAATTTTTTCCTGAGATATGGCGGTGGAATGTTTTTGTAATGCCCTGCAACTTCAGGCCACCACCAAAAATGCCAAAATATTCCCTTTTTGCCGCCAATTGCCGGGAATTTAATACATGTTTCCTTGGCAGTATGTGAATAAACCTGGCAAGTTTCAGGGCGGCATTATAAATCCTCATTTTTTACATCAATTTGTGTTCAGTGCGGTCCATTAATTTTCGTCGAACTGCGCTGTTTTCTTCGTCGCCATCTTGAATTCTTAAAATGCGAAAATCTTCGTTTGAACTAATCATTGTTTGAACTCGTTTCGTGACGTGCTCTCAGTATGGCGTCGTAAACAAAGTTTTGGCCTTAGCAACGTGCTAATTTGCATAATAGGATTTTTTGGTAGTTTTTATGAAGGTAGCCTGCGTTGCAGACGGCCCACGCACTCCTCTGTGTCTGCGACGCGGGCAATTGTAAACGAAACAATTTTAAACTTTTAAACTAAACAGGTTTTGGCTTTTAAACTGTTTTAAACGAAACAGGTTTTAGCTTTGTCGTTAATGGGGCATCAAAAAGAGAATTTCTTGAAGAAAGACATCTCAAAACAGAGCACTAAAGATGAAACTTATTTGTACAATATGATTCGTTTATTTTATACATTACTGTACAAAATATCTATTCTAGATTCGACAGTGACAGCGATACAGTTGGGCATTCCCTTCCCGTGTAACATTTACAGGATCATGCATCCAATTAAAAAGAAATAGCTGGCAGAAACGTAAATCTCTTTAAGCATAATTGTAACAGATCTGCACATGGGCCAAATAAATCCATAAAATCAAAGTCTGAGTTTTCCTATTCTACATGAGCCGTCTCAATTTAAAACTGAAGTTTTTACTACAGAAGTGCATGCAGCTAAATGACCTGACTGCGCAGTCAGTGCTACATATAGCTTGTTTGGCCTTGCTATTATTGCAAAACAATTTAAAGTACCTCGCTAATGGTTAGCCACCATGACATAAAATTAAAATTCGACAACCTTGATTTTAAGTGCTATCAAAATACCATAAACAAAAAAATACCTCTTGGAATATTCCTTTGCAACCGAGACCAATACAACATATCAACTGGAAACATTAGAGGTTATTAACTTTTGACTAACACATTAACTCAGCAAGGACAAAAATATATCTCACAAGCAGATCCATATTATACATCAAATTTTTGGATCTACTTGTCTTTCAACGTCCATTTAGAACCAGCCAGTTTATGTCCAAATTCTATTTGGAGAGCACTTGCTATAGCAAACTTGCACTGCAACAGTTAAATCAGTTCATAAATAGAGGCACATCTCTCCACTGCATGGTTATTTCACAAGACACCGTTCAAAATAAACACTTCCTACATATCCTCCCCTCATTGCTTTCTGTACGTTCTGTTCAAACAACCGCCTGTTAGCTCGGAGAACCTCTGCAGCATCTGCACGAAACAAAAAGCAAATAGGATTTACAATCAGTAATACATAACTGTTACTTTAAAGGTGGTTCCTGCACCGCTTTAACTGTAGCGGCTTCACATAACAGAGAGGAGAAGTGTGACATCACATTCCTATGACTGCAGAATTTCTAAATGACAAGAATAGGGAGCTTAAGCAACAATGATGGCCATGGCAATGAGAACAGCAAACAAGCAAGAGGTATATATTAGCAAGTCAACAATTTTGCACGTGAATCACGCTTTTAATTGTACATTTCTTAGCCGTCGTTGCAAGACTGCGACATGAAACTTCCTAATTTACAAGCCTGTTTTATGGAGTATGCGAATGACAACACAAAAATTTTCTTTCTCTTTTTCTAAACATACGGTAGATGCGGCCCTTTCGGATTCAACTCCAGTATTTTTTGCCAACTTTTGACCAATTAAATGAAATTGAATAAGACAGATGAAGTTTGAAACAGTGCAATTTCACTTTTGAAGTGTTTTATTCGGTTTGCTGTCACCCAGAAATTTTGCCGCCATGGCAACGTGACGTAACGACTTCTCTCTATTTGATGGTACTATTAGCGTGCTCGCAAGAATGTGTCATTCAAAACACTCCAATTCTCTTTTGAAGAAAAAGACTCAGAATTTAGTGACTAGTGTTAAAAACCTTTAAACCTGCTTTTCACTAGCGCATAAGCATAAGCACAAGCACATGTGTAAACAAGTGAAAACTGGGTCGATATAAGCATAAGCATAAGCACAAGAAAAACGGACAAGTTCGTTCTTCTTGTGCAGTGTGCAAAGAAAGTAGTGTCCGATAGCGCGGGGCTAGTGGATTTTGCTATCGGGCTAGTGAAATCTGTTTTTAACTTGCCCGACAGGCAAGTGATGTTCTTTGAGGAATTCGAATAACAGAAGAAGTGTGAAATCAATTCTGCTCGACGAAAAGCTTTTGGGGCTAGTTGAAATGACATCTGGGCTAGTAAATGCTAGCTTCAGCTTGCCCGAATTGCAAGCTGTAAAAATGATTTTCTTTGCACCCTGTTGTGCTTGTGCTAATACTTATGTCGTAGCTTTGACTAGTGAAAACTGGGTCGACATAGAGCGGTTTTCACTTGACTGTCGTAAAACCAAAACCAAAGTAAATACACTAGCCAACCAAAGGGCGTAGTAAAACCAAAACCAATCCCTTTCGACAGTCAAGTGAAAACCGCTCTAAGCACAAGAATAAGAACAAGGCCATGGACCAATCATAGGTCACTTTGACCCAGACCCCATGCAAACATATCAAAAGCAATATGGCGGACGCTTCGTCCGCCATCTTGTTTATCACTGGGTTGAGGAGAGCTGGTATGGAGAATTGAGTCAAATATGCCATTCTGCACGTGCGTTTGTCCTTATGCTTATGCTTATGCGCTAGTGAAAACCAGGCTTTGATACCTTTCGTCATCTGGCATATTCTTTAAACTGTTAACCAGATATTTATGTTTGAACAAACTGGCTTAAAATTGAGCAGGAATAATGTCCAATCTTAGAAACTCTCTCAAAAATAAATACCAACCTTTGTTTAAAGGATCTTCGGGATTTGGTTCCTGAAAACAACAAAATGATTATTATTGATGACTACATGACTAACACTGGAAAGAAAAGCTCATCAAGGAGTTTTTGAAACTCAGCTTTTTTCAAGATGTAAAATAACATGTCATGCAAATTTTTCTCTCTGTTTAACTTCAGAAAGATGATAGTTTAATTTGGGACTTTCACAGCAATTTTAATCAGCAAAATCGTTTTTACTAATCACGACAATCAAAATGGTTGTGGCATGAATGCAACTACTGTCACAGTGATTCAAAAGTTATCTTCCTCGTAGAACTCAATTTGTACAGTGTAATGGCTTAAATTCCTTCTCTAAATACTTTGAATGTGGAGTGCCCCAAGGGTCCATTTTAGGTTCATTATTGTTTTTGTTGTACATCAGTGACTTGTGTTATGTGTCGAAGCCCTTGGTTTTCACACTCTTTGCTATGTGTTTAAATAGTTGCAATATTCGATTTTTGCATTATTGTTAGTACAGTATTATCATTTTTTTTTTTTTTTTTTTTTGGGGGCAAGTATAATACAGAAAATAATCCAGGATTTTGGATTATTACATGTTTCTGGGAAACTGTCCACCTACCCCTCCCCTAAGCCAACATTATCACTTACTTCGCACTAGAGGCAAAATGTTGGCTTAGAGGAGGGGTAGGTGGGCAGTTTACCGGAAACATATAATGATCTCGGATTTTGCGGGGTCATGCATTTTTGAAAGCAAGGATTTTTTCTACACCTCATTTGGACCCTATTTCCCTGCTTGTTGCCACAAAATTACTTAAGAGCCCCCCTGTAAATTTTACATTCACAAGAATTCAGTCACTCACCAAAAACAGATATTGTAGTCCATATATTATTGAGTTGATTGTTAAAACAGGTTTCCAGTCTTCTCTGAAAATCAAAGAGTTTTAGAATACTATAAATAAATACAATAACAAAGAAATAATAACACTAGTCCAACTTTGGACTGTAACAGTTGTACTTGTTAAATTTGCTTTGCCTTCTTATAGAATTTTAAGTTCTATAAACCATAAACAAATTCTCCCTCTTTTTGGTGGGTCATGGGGTGGAGAAGGGGGAGTAAATTGCCTAAGATTTAGGGTACAAAATTATGATAGTATCTTTCTGTTCACGTCAGGATATTTCCATTTGGTAACTTGTCTCTGATTTTGATTTAATATGTAATGAAGTTTTTTCTAGCTCCTTGGGTTGCTTAGAATCTTCAAGATTCTAGTCATAGCTGGTTTCAAAGAACAGGTATTATTATGCCAACAATTTTTAATTTTGCCAAATTGCACACACAGTCATGTACCGCATATTTTTACCATGGACAATCTGAAAATTGATCAAAAATTGTACTTATCTTAGCTCTAGAGGGCTCTAAGCAATCTTAAATAAGTCCTACATACAGTACATTATTTTGTACTATGCAATTTAACTTTGTTGACACTTGATACTCAGTCCTTGCATGAATTGAGCTTTGAGAATCAAGTCGTTAATTGAGTCTCACTTGAGTTCTTGACTCTCAATACAATTAATTCCAAATTTATACAAATGAAAATAAAGTTGGCATTCAGATTTCACACCATTAATGTACTTGCTGTATTTTTCTCTTGGCTCGCACTAAATTTTTATTTTCATTTAATACAAACATTGTATCATACATAACCATACATAAAAACAAAGGAAAAGAGACTTTCAACCTTTATACTGCAGACAAAATATATATCCACCAAAAAGGAAAGGTAATCAAAAATCCAACAAAAATAACAACAAATTTACCTTAAAATGTTTAAGCATACATTTCCTTCTAAATCAATATTGGGATGATAAACCTAGAATAGTAACAACATCATTTTATTGGTTTATAACAATTAAAAAACATATGACTACTGTAATAGTTCTGCAACATTTTATGGGGATAACATACAAGGTTCAAAAGTTCAAACCTTTTAAGCTGGGTTGATTTTCAATTGTTTTATCCCAGGAAATCTAATAAAACTTATTATTCACGATCATGGATAATAATAAACCCACGTAAATGGCTGAAACAGTCCTTTTCCTGTGGGCCAAATTTGTAGCGATTGAAAGTTACAAAAATTTTGGGGATCAATATTTATAGGGCCTGGGGGAAATGAGCTAAGCTTTTTATTGCTTAATTATCTTCTAATAAAGGCTTTTGTTTCTCTATTGTTGTCCAAAATTCATCGATCTGAATAACTACATACAGTTGTTTTTGGCCGAGAATGTTAATTAATTCTCACAGATGGAAATCTACGAACTTAAATCTGAAAAAGGCAAGAATTCTAGCCTAAATTGACTCTAAACCAATCACGGAAAATTTCACATTTTTTGACAATGTACCTCTTTTATCATGTGAATTTAAACTAGAGTACAATGAAATGTAATTCCTGCTTTGCCAATTTTGAAGCTTTCTTGTCATCCTTGCCTACATGCAGGGTTGTCAGAAAGTTTTGACGTAGACAGCTGAGTTGTCAAAGGGACAGTCCAGGGATATTTTATTTAAAAAATGCCATCCATAAAGAAATGCCAAGCAGAGTAGCCGGCCAATACTAACCAAGCAGGCGGCGATTTTTGCTGGCAGCCTGCTACTTTTGACAAACCTGACATGTACATGTATGCCTTCAGTGACCTAATGCAACCAAAGCTGATCCAAGCTCTTTTAGTTGTTGTGCTTGGTCTTTCATTTAAGAAATCAGCGGCAAAAAGGCTATAATCCTAAATACAGCTGTAATTCTTGTGTTTAGGACAGTGTTTTTGGCTTTTGTTATCATGATCACTGCACATGCTACAGTATCTTGGAACCTGGAACAGGCTATTTTGTTTCCTAAGAAAATAGCCAGGGGTCATAACCTAAACTTCTGCTTTTTAACCTCCCTCCCTCCCCCAGTTATAGGTTCATCTACCTGCCAACAAAAAAATCCTGTTATTACCTGCATATGTAGCTTGTTGTAATTAATTTTGTTTTTTTTTTTTTTTCCCTGTCCTGTTTATACGCTGTCCTAAAACCCCTTGTGAAGTTGCATAAGCCCTATACATTTGTATGTATAAGTGCAAGTTTACAGTTTATGTACCTAAAGAAACAGGGGAAATCCCAAGCCCCCAGTCCTTACTGACGGTCCTGGGTTCACCAGGGTTTCAGACAGCTCTTGCCCTATGGGGACTAATTTGTACCTTCAAGGCCTTTGGAAGGAGAAACTTTAAAAAAATGGTAACTACATGTCCAAGGCATTTTAAAGCAAGGCCTGTCAAAGGAATAACCAACTTCTAAAAAGTAGATCCAACAGAATCGGATCCAGAGTTAATGTACCTTTGTTTCACATTTGACTTTTGGTGCATCATGAGGATAGCCAGGACCAACCTAAAATAAGTTGAAATGAAAAAAACATTAACGTAATCAAGTATACTTAGGATTTGAGGTACATGTGATTTCCGCTGCTCTCTCAGGTCTGGCCTTAATTGTTAGAGATGGCTGGATGCATGAGTGGCAGATCAAGTCTGTGACATTAATTCAAAATCTATGGGTCTTCGAAAAACACAATAAACAGGAAATGACATCAGACACTGGGCACACATTGTCATTTTTGTCTCATTGTCACTTTGGTCCTCACCAAAAAACTCAACAAAACCAACTGATTAAGGTATCTACAATGCTTTCGCATTCATTCAGACCCAACATCAGGCATTAAAGTATGGCAAGCTTAAAATGGACAGGTCTTCAAACTGGAGGTGTTTGACAATAACACAACCACCTTTCCAGCTTACCTGACTCCAAAAAGAGGAATACCAAATTTTTGCACTGTGAGCAGTCAAGAAATAACTTTCAGGAAAGTTATGACAGTTATTATTTAGACATGTTTCGGATGAACAGCATCTATCATCAATACATATAGGTAAAATGTGAAGAGAAAGAGATGATGAAAGAATGATGATGGAGATGATGATTCTGGAATGCCAACCAATCAAATAACTAACCTTAAAACTAAACACAAATCTTCCATTTCTGTAAAATCCCTATGAATAAAAAAACAGATACAGAGAAACTTTATAGTTTTTGTTTACCTTTTTATAGAGCAAAAACAAAAGAATAATAAAAGCCAACTTTCTAACCTCATCTGGTGAAATAAGGAGTTTAAAATTAAGAAGGTCATCTGGATCAGGGAAATCTGTCTGACATGTCTTTGGAAGATTAAGTTCACCAATATCTAAAATCCAAGAAGAGGAGTCAGTATTTCAGTGTAAGATATCACACACAGATCATACATGTACCCTCATCAGAAGCTCTAACCACTCAGCTACTACAGCCTCTGTACTAAGCCAAGGTTTTTGCTCACCATAGCATCTCTATTGTACATAAAATTGGATTCTCAGCTTAAGCCAGAATTTACTTGTCTCTTATGAACATATATAGGAGGCAAAAGAAAAGTAACAATAATTGTAAAACAAACAAGGTTAAATTCTGGTTTAAACTGAGACAAGATTTTATCCAGTTGCTTAGTGATTAGTGCATTCAACAACAGTGCTAAGGATTGTGGCTTTAAATCCCACATGGAACTCAGAATTGTTTTCTGGGTTCCTTGTGCTTGATTTTCATCAACATGACTTTCTAATTTACCAGCAAAAATTGTACAAATGTAGCACTGTGTTATTTGCAAATGAGAAAACTTATTTAAGTGCTGTTCCCGATTAAGTGCAACACTGAGAGATGAAAAAATTAATGAGTAGTATTTATTAAGAAAATACCACAAGGCCCTGTTCAGATGCATATCATTTCAAACATACTTAAGTTGTGATTGGTCACTATACATTGAACAATATATTATTCCTAAACTACAGTGTGGTACTAATTGCAAATTTTGGTAACATGTTTGACAGGGAGGGCTGATACATTAGGGAGGAGGTAGTGAAAGATCAAGTAAGGGGGATAAGAGGAGTGTTAAGTATCATACTATGTTTACAATTCTGTTGAAATTTTAGGTCTCTTTATTTTCCACAAGTTACAATCAAAACACCAAGCAGAAAATGAATGACGCTGCTGAAGCTTATGACACCTGATCTGCTTGCACGATTGATTAAAATACAAATTTCAGATTGCAGAGGTCAACAAGACACTCTTAAAGTGTCAACTCAACGTTTCTTGAAGATTAGATAAGAAATGAGGCAGAGATAAATTCTTAAGGAGCCTGTGTATGGGCGTAGGTTACACAGTAACTATTGACTACCTTATGGTACAACTGGTGTACATAGAATAGTCAGACTAAACTTAAACTGGAAAAAGATTATAACATTACAGTTTATAAATCTTAAGCCAAAATTTCCAACGATGTTTAGGCAATAATGCTGTAATTTCAAGCAATCTTCCACAATCAAAGACAACAGCACAAGGTGAAGAGCCAGACCTTGCAAATCAAAGTACTAAATACAAAGAAAAGAACATAGGCACGTTAAACGTGCATAAGCTATTTTGAATGCTTCAGTGTCACTTTAATGCTTCGGTTTAACTCATGCACACAATTTGCACGTGAAGATGTTGGTCTTTGGCCCTTTTACAATTCGTACATAAAAAAAAGGCAAATTGTTTACTACAAAATTTTCTCAAACGATTTTAAGAAATCACCTCGGCTTCATTACAACATCTGCACTTAAATTATGTTTCATGCATCGTCAAGGTTGATAGCCTAACATTTATTAACTTCCAAGAAAAATATCGAACTGCCGAAATATATTTCTACTTATATCATGTTACTCCACTCAATAAAACAGTATCTAAATATTGGGTCAACTAGCTTCTCCCAATGTTATTCCCTAACGCTACTCTTTCTACTTAAGCTACACATCTTTACTAAATAAAATACGTTTCAATAACTATAATACTTAGTATGCAGGAAGGATGTATCATGTTGTTCACTTATTATTCTTTTTTTTTTGTTTTGCCAGAACAAAAAAGGTCTGTTGAACTTTGTAAGCGAGAGAATAATATCTTTAAAGCTTGTTTACAGAATTAACAATACTCGGTACAGCTTTCAAGAAAATAAGCTACCTTTCAAACTTCTAAAACCACATTTTATAGGGCGCATACTTTCGAGTTAAAGTCCATATCTAAATATCAATTATTGCTTCATTGGAAGAGCTTTGAAAAATATGGTCTTTTATACTCTACTCAGTTGAAGCAGACGAAACAGAACTCATAAATACTTGCATTGTACCGATAGCCGAATTAGGTCAGAAATGCCTTGAAGCAGCATCCACACTAAAATATGAACCCTTAAAGAGCTGCATCACCGTACATAGCATCTGAATCATGAAGATATTTAATGTAATGCTTCCAAACACCTCTGGCCGTAATAAAAGACGAAAACATTGTGAAGAATCAAGATGGCGGTCTCAAAGTGCCCTTGTTTGACCTTTGGCAATGCCATGTTTAAATAGATGCCAAGATCTCGTTGGTTCCTAAGCATCAACTCATAGTACCTTCAACCTTATTGGCTCTAGCAACAAACATCCGAACATACAAAGATACAAAGCCACAAAGATACATACGCTCACACCACTGACATATGAGCTATTTTTTCAAAATAGCTCAATAATGGCTTTCAGATTACATCTCTTGGTGCTACGCAACCTCAGGCAATACTAGCCCTTAATCAACAGAAGGCCTTACTTAATATGATCTTAGTAACTCCCTTCATTGGGGTGACTGTTCCAAATGCATTGCGTATTTCATGTTGCCTCAAAAAGACCTCAGCATCCTATTCTCTCAAAATTATATGAACATTAAGATATGCTAAACCCCAAGTATCAAACAACAAGTCAAACCAGGAGGTCAAACACTGGACTACATGTACACTCCAGGATGGTAAATAGGGTATTTCCTCAAATAATGGCCATCTCTCTATTAATGTATTGCCTCCCTTTGATAATCAACCCCTTTGATAAAAATGTTCAAAATAATCGCCTCCGCCAATAATCTCCCCAATCCCTATAGGTTACCCGCTAGGGATACCTATAGCGGTAAACTTGGAGGATGATGCTAAAGTGGAGTTTGATCCAGCAAAATTGGTCAGTGATGATTCAAGCTCTGACACCAAGAACATTGACACTGAAAATTAATCACAGAACCAAATTTGCAACACTTTAACCCATTTGCCCCTGGAGATTTTGCCAAAAAGCACGATTTGAAGCTACCTAGTTGAGCGGTTTTCTGGTCACTGTCATGCTATAAAGAGCTAAAACTTACCACAAAGCCATTTACAGGTCGTACACTTTGCGGCCTTCTGAACCAGATGCAAAATATTAGCTTGCAAAGTTTGGGCACGCACAGAAAGCAAAATTTCAAGATTTCGAGTTTTTGGGTTTAAGAGTGGCACAGCAGTCTTGACTTTTACTTTTCACTTTCTCTCCTTCTTTTTTTTTCACTTTTTTTTTTTTTTTTTTCTCTTGCTGTGGGAAAAGTTTTTAGCAAAGCTTTTAGGATCTTAGGATTAGATAAAAGGAAAGGTAGGTGGGTAGTGGACCAAGATTTTCATGGAAATTTTACGGTCAAAGTTACATTTTTTTTTTTTTTTTCTGTGGTGTCCTTGACTGAGTTGTGCTCATTCTGGTATGGTTTGAAAGATCTCTTCACTCTACACAAGTTAGCAGACAAAGTTGCCCTTGACCATTAAAACTGTTAATGCCACAAGTGGTAGAAAGGACGTGGATCCGCACAGGCAGTTACGGGTGGCTCAGGGCCAAACGGGTTAATTTGATGTGATTATTTTATGATTTACAGTGCTATCACATGAACTGAGGCCACCCAGACAACTGCTTTCTTTACTGCTGGCTTTGATTCCGGCCCGGGGGCGGTACTTTAGGAATTTCTGGGTGGGGATGTGCCGCTGGGAGCCTGGAACCCTTAACCTTTACCAGAGCTAGTTCAGCTGAATTTTGCCACCCTATACTAGAGTAAAATCCCCAAATCCCCCTATCCTAGAGTAGCTGTGTACCTAGTCTAGATAAAATCTTCAACCAACTGATCAGTTTCCTGAAAAATGATACCCTATTCTAGAGCCAAACGCTCTGATTTATATACCCTATCCCAGAGTAAACTGCTTGAAAACCATACCCTTCACAGCGGCACATACCTATATAGCCCATATATGGCAGTACCCCCCCCGGGGATTCCGGCCACCCAAGACATTGTCAAAACATTTTTCAGCTTGCTTTACACACTCTTTTAGAAAAACGGTTCTGACTAAAAGATTATGCACAATTTCATTGTTTCGATCTTGACTTGTGATTGGCTAATTTCAAAATTTGTCTCAAAATTTTGTCTGGATGGCCTCGGTTCATGTGGTCACACTGTAATGGAAAAACAGAACAAAATATTTAGGGCACAACTTCTATTGAGCAATATTTGAAATAATCACTTCCCTCAAATAATCGCCTTCCCTTGAATAATAGCCCCTTTTTGGTGTGAAAAAAGAAGTAATCGCCCCCAGCTATTATTTGTGGAAATATGGTAAAAATAAACTGGGTTAGAGAAAAGTTAATTGATTAAGGTAAATACAAAAATGTGTTAAAGCGTTGTGTATGGTTAATCGTGTTCTGGTATACATTTACATTTTTTTTCTTCTGACAGATGAAAAGGTGTTGACAGACCAACACGACTCTGGACTCTTGTATACAGTGTAGCAAGTAGGCAGTTATTCTCTCAGATGTTCTCAACCTTTATGGCTAGGCTAGGCTCTAACTAGAATATCTAGCTAAAATGTCATTTATGCTTTGGAAGATTCTAACATGTACATGTTCTTCCGTCGTTTTAGTTCATAAAGTCGGTCCATTTCCTATGCATCGATTTCCTGTGGTTTTTGGTTGACAGAATCTTGATCTCAGAAGCACTGTTTACATTTCCAGTCAAGTGTTTTAAGCAGGAGTTGATCCACTCAATGATTTCAAGTAGGTTTCATGTAAAGGACCGTTCACTTCTTTTCAGGAAGAAATTATAGCTTTCCTTTTGTCTAATTTTATGAGTCATTACCGGCACATGTAGGCTGAAAAATAGCCTGAGTACAGAAGCCAGGGGGCTAGCCGAAAAACGTCCACACAATGTCAACGCTGAAATCCAGAAATAACATATCTGATTAAGCGTTGAATTCTGTACATCCTTCCCTTTTATTTACAATAGCCGCTGGCAGAGAACAGATACACCCGCAACCGGTGCAGCAAACCTTGGTGGTCTTACTTCACATGCCCATTCCAGAGAGCCGAAATACAAGTAAACGTATGCAGATGTGGTATGGCATTAACATTACAACCAATCAGAGGCTTTCCCCCACATTCCGCGGAAACAGGGACATGATTAGCAACGGCAATTCACAGATGTCTCTCTCCCTGATTTTTAATGAGGGGAGGGGGGCATCTGTTCACAGGCTATTAGAGCAGTGCATTGCTTTAAGTTCGATGAGTCAAAATGGAGGCAACTTATGTAACAGTGAAAGAAACCATTTAAATTCTGGCACAACGTTTTGAAAATGGTAAAACATAAAAGCACGGATTAATGTATGACTGACAAACAGAACACATAGCTGAAATAGAAAATTTAGATTTTCATAGCAACGAATCCCATTGAGAGCTCGTGACGTCGAATCATATGAAAGCATCACTGGTCCACAAAATTCCCTTAAACCTGGTAAACAAACAAAATTCCTCGAACGGGTTGCTGACTGGCTTATTTGTAATAAGGACGATCGATAAAGGTCGTCTCAAAAATTCAGAAAATAGCGACTGAAAGTGTGCATGTAAAAGTTAAAAAGTACAAATCGCATTCGTTGTTTTGGTACAACTTTGTCAATTCAACAACAATGCACGCGCGGAAACGCAGTTCTCTTCAAGACAAAATGAAACCGGGATGGCAAAGAGGAAAAAGATCTAGTTAGTGCTACAGCGATCTTAGTTCCTCTTAAAGCTTGTTTACACGGGAATAATTAATTACGTAGACATTCCCTAAGCGTAAAACAAGAAGGTTAAGTTTCATGATGCAATGGTAGCACAATAAGCTGAGTTACTTCTCTAAGCTCTAAAACCAAACCATGCCGCACCTTTAGTTATCCTTAGTTGCGCTGCAGACGCTCTCTTCGCCCCTCCTTTTGCGCCTTCACCTTCCTTCTTCTGTTGCTTTAACGAAAAAAGCTTGATCATGGCTCTATTTCACTTCCCAGAAGGAAAACAAAACACAATTTCCACCTTCCGAATAAGAGAAAAAGGGTCGCGAAGGCTCCACAAAAAATCTCTCTTTATCACCGGCACACAGTGTGAGATTTGATTGGCTTAGAACTGTCGTATGGTTCTCGTTAGAAGTTCCGCAACAAATCGGAAAAAACCGATCAATTATCGAATGCATTCATTTGTTCCCAGGCAGCCGCCAGCAAATGACGCGGTTACCAATAAATGGCGCGCTTTTTGACTTCTTCCCGCGATTTTTTGCGTCCGGTTGTCAGCCGCCGGCGGGGAGTTTGCAGGGAGCGGAGACAGGAATGATTTTTTTTCCTCACATTTAAAAATACTTTGTTTCTTTCAGTAACTTTGAGCTTTATTCGGAGGTAAAATTTTGAGATAATCAAAAAGTAATTTTTTCCCCCTTTTTTTTTTCGAAAACTACGATTTACTTGGTCTCACCTCGGTTATCAAAAGGTAAGCCTTGATTTAGTTTCACCAAGAGCCACAAAGTTAACGAGGAAAGTGAAAGCTTAAGTCTTGAAATTTGGGAAACTTTGTTAAGCTTACAGATTTTTTTAAAACTTTGATTTTTTTTTCAATACTGTACTCTATTTGTTTTGAGACAAAACCATACACGGTTAAAAGTACACAATTATTTTACCCTGAAACGTAAAACCTTTACGCTAAGATATTCTGAACTATTTTGTTAACATTATCAAGTCAATGCTCTGGTCTTAAAAGGGCTTTTTATACGTCTTCCAGGTTTCTTTTAAAATATTACGTCATGTCAGTAACCATGTGCCACTACATGAAAAGTGTAAAGAAAAGTAGAACAAGTAAGCATGGAATTTCCAAGACAAAAGCGATGTCAACTGACAAAAACCAAAAGTCTCAGTTCGTGTATTCAAGAAGTCCCCTTGGTCTGTTTCGCCTACTCCCACGAGAAATGCGCTTCGGGATATTCGGTTTCACACCTCCTGCCGACCTTGGACAACTTTCGCTTTCATCAAGGGTTTTTAGAGACGAGATCATTGAATACATTCACGACAACGAGGGCTTGCTGATTATCGTCCCGAGAATTCATCTCAACAGTGACGAGGAATCCTCCCAGCACTTCATGACTTTGGAAACTGAATACTGTTGCAACCATTTTAATGATCTAGGTACGTCTTAATTTGCAACTCATTTAACTCTATCTCTACAAAAATTAATGCCCCACTAGCCACTCAATTTGTCGTCGTCGTTGTTATTTTTGTTTTCTTTTAGGCATATTGGTAAAAAGAGCAACGTGCCTTCTTTCAACGAAAGAAAGGTTAAAAGAAGTTGGAATTATTCTTGATAAGGTATTAATCCATGGGTATTTAGATATAGAGCGTCCCACCTCCCTCCGCCAGTGAAGAATTGACTCCTCTTCGTTAAAACAAACAAAACAAGAGAGGCTCGCCATCCTTTATTTGTTTACCTATTTCTATGACTTTCAATAACTTTGGTATGTAGAAAAGAACGGAAGTCGAAAAAATTCTAAGTTTTCAATTGCTCATCGAAAAAGAATGTCCTCTCTTTTTTGTACTTTCGTCGTAAATTCCATTCTTTCTGCTATGCCAACCAGCTTACGTTTTATATTTTGGCTGCATAGGTTCCTCGTTTAACAGAGGAGATTATTTCTCGGTATATTCCATATGGAGCGCAAAAATATGCACAGCATCGGCTTCCCAACAACTATGATCTTTTCGCACGGAACGATAATTAAGACATGTTGTTACTTTGGAAGGGGGGGGGGGGGGGCAGGGCTTGTAAATCATGCTCCATGTTAGTAGTGTTGCATTTGCACATGTCAATTCTAATGGGTTTTCCCACTTTCACCTTTATAATACATTATTTTATTTACAAATTTTCAGCTGAAAGACACTCACACGAAGATCTGCACCACACTTGGTAGTGATATAGCTTACAGCTGCTACGGAAAATTTCTCCATTCCTTTGTAGCTGGATGGGAAGACGATGAGAAGTTCAAGGCTTATCTTGCGATTAAAGGTTTGAAAGAAAGACTGTTGATATAACTGCATGCAATTATTAAAGTCCACCATCCATATATCTATTTTAAACGTGATAAACGGCCGCAAATTACATTATTACATTTTTCATAGTATACGATATACCTCAGAAAAAGAGTCATTATAGGACTGCATTACTAACACTATACTGAAGTCTTTACAACAGTCTTCGGCCAAATGTAATGCACAGCCTTTGCCATTGCAGGAAATCATAATAGGACCTTAGGATAGGTCCTATTATGATCTTTTGCCTTCATAAAAGAAAAAAAGTAAACTGTCTGCTTCAAAGGAAGATCTAGCCTGTATCGGATATTCAGCTAGCAAGCGCAGCGCTGCGAAACAGAGAGCGGAAATCACAAAAAAGAAAGAAAGAAAGAAAAATGCGGAGGAAAGGTAGAGAGAAGTTTTCACGGACCTTGGTCCTTGGCATTGCATTTCCTCGTCTAACGATTTGGCTTTGTGTCTGCTATCTGAACCCCTTGGCCCAGTTATTCGAGGGTCGATTACAATTAAACCGTGCTTAAAATTTTATCCGGGTTTCTTTCTCTTTTCTTCAAAAAAATAATCTCAGATCTCTGTTCTTTTTAGAGCATCCAATCATAAATGGCTGACAAAACGAATTAAACTGAATTTCCTCTATAAGCTTTCATTTCTGAATTCCAATTTCGCACTAACCCTGGGTTATCTGACCAAGCATTTGAACAATCGGGCCCGAAAAAATGTCGGACGTTCGAGAAGTCTCACACAGGAACGACATACGTCAGGGGCGTAGCCAGCCCATACACCTGTACGCCCGGGCATATAAATTTTTGGTTTGATAACTCTACCGCTTGTAATACGAGTAAACTATGGGTTGTTGGGGTGAGCTAAAAAGGCCTACAACTATTCAAAAAGCTGGCCATGCCTCTGTACGCTACCACTCAGTATGGCTCTCAGTCTTCTCATTTCAATTCTGTGTCTCAGGTAACGTGATTCAAACTTACTGAATAATTACGATGTAGAGATCATTAAAAAAACTGCCCTAGCGTTGCCTGGAAGTCAACGCATGTACCTACAGGTCCCTGTACTGAACTACCATTTTTCTTTTCTACAGGCGCTTCTTGTTTGGATGACAGAATAAGGCAGGTCCTGCGCTCTACACCAGGATCACAACCGTGGTACGAAAGATACATCAGAGTCTTCTGCCGAGAAATATTCTTGGACAAATCAAGTGATCTTTGGGAGAAAGGATTTTGGCTTTCTAAGATACTTAAGCCTTGGCCCCTTGTCTTCCAAGCTCGTCTCCTTTACATCCTTTATGGACCAGTCAATGATGACAACGGTAAGAAGTGTTACTTGTAAGTCCCTTTTCAAACGTAAGACTTTGCCATTAAAAAACTCCTAAGATTTCTTGATAACCAACATTGCAGGAACAATAGAGTGGAGTATAGTGGAAAGTTGCCCAACATATCTTGGAGTGGAAGACGCCGAATTAAAAGAACTTGCAGATGCTTTAAAAGTCTTGCATGTATACAGTGACAACAAAGACTGGAATGGCGACGACTTTATCAGCGTCTTTGAGGAGTTAACGGGTTAGTATTTCCTTTTTTAACAATCACGAACGAATGGTCGATCGGTATACTGAACCATATTATATTTCATGATTTTACGACGAAGCGTCTGCGCAACTATAGTACATGTAAATATCACAGTCTATGTCAAACAAACCCTTGGTGGAAGTTTGTTGTAGTCAAGTATTGAAATGGCTGTTTATTTATTTGAACAATTTGTTGGCTTAAACAGGTTATCAGAGGCGGATCTAGGGGAGGGGCCCGGGGGGCCCGGTCCCCCCTTTTTCAGACCAAACCCCCCTCTTATCTGAAGGTCTGGATCCGCCACTACGTTATAACGCAGTTATCTTTTCCGATGAATGCTAAAAATGGTCGTGGTGGTGGTGGGAGGTTACAAGTTTCAACATTTCTGTATGTTTGCAGTTTCTTCAGTGAAGTTCCTGGGCTTTTACTGTGCCATAAATAATCCATGAATGTGGCGAATGTCTGATTACTGATAACACCACTATTTTTTGTTTATCTCTATGCTGTACCATTAAGGTACACCAACAGACTGGTGCATGGAGAACGTCGCGAAGCTGCTTAAGCTTTGCGGGGAAACAGTTTGCTTTGAAGTACTTGGAAATAAAGCTATAAATGGAAGAGTTCATGAACTATCCTATCTTGGCTATTATCTAGGACAGGTAACAGATCGTTGTAACTTTGATGTGCTTTTACATAGTGAGAGTAACTAATAGTAAAGCAAAAAAATTATTAAAAGATCTTCTAAAAAGTAGTAATATTTGAAGGATTTTAATGCTTACTTTCCAGGTTTTAGGTCAAGAAGACATTACGCATGGAAAAGACACAGGGGTGAAGAGTTTCACAAGCACTTTGCAGCAAGTTCTAAGAGCGATGCAAAGCAATAAAGATCAGGCTGCACTAGTATCATCACTGTTCAATGTGTGGGAAGAGAACATACTTAGCCTTGGTGAAGGGTTACAGGAAGACTTTGGTATGTACAAACATGCGCCGAGGCAAACATAGCTAACTTGACTTCACTTATTGGTGGTGCCTGACTCGCTAATGATGAGAGTTGTACGTAGATAGCATAGATCTTCAATTAAAAACTCTGCGATAAAAAATACAATTTTATCTCTAATATAACAGACACCATAATTGTCAAAAGGGAGCTAAAGGGCTTCAGGAATTATATTCCCTTGGAAATAAAGAGGCAGGAGGCTACCTGGGCTAAATCTTTTCTAGTGTACTACCATTGGTTTTATAAGTATATCAGTGGATTGTATGAGGGAGACTTGGACTTCCTTATAAAAGTTATCAAGATAAAAAGTTATAGATATAGTTTTGAGCACTCCTGGTCGGACACTGGGCTATATTTTTACTACTTCGGGTATGAAATAGAGTTTGTTCTCTTTGGAACCAGGGACTGGAATTGGGTGAGTCTTTTAACACTCCTCTCACAGCAAGCCCTAATATTTCATGGTAATGATTCTTTCCGGTACCGTGGCCTTAAAATAGCGGAACCGAAAAATGGGTTCCTAATGACATTTTCAGTCTTAGAGGTCAATTTACTGCGAGTTATATACCGAATACGAAACTAAAACGTTGAATAGCATCTATCATCTTTCTATTGTTGGCCATCTTGAATTGTTTCCAAAGCGTATTAGACGTAATACTGTAGTTTTATGGCTTTCAGGACCAAGAAAAAAATGTATATGACTTCCAAAATTGAAAATATTTAAGAGGTGGGTTCCCATGAATTTTCACGGAACCAAAAAATTGTCACGGATGGTTTCAAACTCTGGGCAGCGAATTAAACTAAAAATTGTTTTCCATGGGAATTAAAATCCTGGGGCTTGCATAGCACATCTTAAAGCCACCTCAAAGTTTCGTGTATCATACGACAGCTGTCATCCAGCATTTTTAAACATTTTTCTTTACAGATTTTGATACCCCCGAAGAGCAAGAACAAGTCTTTGCAGCAAGCGTTCACAATTTATCCAAAATGGCTGGCATACTGCTAAAAGAATGTATTGCAAAATAGAGACCGTCAGAAGATATGATAGGACAAGAGAGAATGAGACCATTTCCTAAATGAATTTGCGGGAAAATTTGAGATATTTAATGAAATGAACAATGCCATGAAAAAATTTCAAAGAAATGTCAATATTTATAGAGCCCCTTTAAGGGTATTGTACATTTTTTCCTGATCTCGACACTTTTTACTGATAATTATTTTACATGCTCATTCACCATACGTTTTACATCTTACCTCTAATTATAAGATTCACTAAGTGAGTATTACCCATACCAATCCAGGTCAAGTGAATCGCCACTGCTATTCATTTACTGCAACATTAGATTAGCATTTAAGGTGGCAAAGACATTGATGTTGTAGTAGTGTTGGGTTTGCAAGAGACTAAGTAAAATGAAACACTTGAGATCCACTTGACCTCTTTTATTCAAAAAAATATATATATATTCTAGTGTCAAATGTAACATAGACTGTACGGTAGTTCAGTCAGAGATGCCGAATAAGCCTTGATAAACCCCGTGCTGTGAGTCTTGCTTTGAGAAAGGACGTTTAGAGAGGGTCTTTAGAACTGCAGCCTTTACACCTTATAAATTTCAGGGAAAAAAGCAGTTCTTCTATCATAAATTCAGTTTGTATTGCTTTTTTTTTTTTTGCATTATGTAGGATTTTCTGGTCAGCGATTCTCACGAGTTATTTTCGGTTTGAAGCTTCTTGGTTTGAAGGATTATTTGGTCCCGGTTTGTAACGGTTATACATATCACGAAGTAAAAACTAGCCTGTACTGTTACTTTGTGTAGGTTGGCTGCATGGTTCGGGCTGGTATTAGGGCTTTTTCAGTACTATTACTTATTTGCACCAAGAGGTACTCCCAATATAGTCTATATATAGACTTTCTCAATGTCCTTTGCTTCTCGTTTCCGGTTGTAACCCCCAACGCTTTGCCACCTAAAACATTTAAAATTTCTTGCTCGTGCTTTGCGCTCGAGAAAAATTTTGAGCTGGACTTGTAGACAAGTCTACCCTCTATAATGCACTTTACAGGGCGGCTCCGCCCGAAAGGGGTACCTTTTCAGGCTTCAGGTATATGAAAGAGGGGGAATTCCACTTGTTGAAGTATATAAAAGGGTAGGGAAACCTGCAATTTTAGTTGATAAAAAGTCCCGAGGACTAAAAGACGCATTTCATGCCAGGAAAAAGTCGAGAAGTAGTTTTGGTTTTGTGATTTAACTTATTTTAAAGAAAGTGCATTCACAGCAGTTTAAAAAAGGATGTATAGTTCTAAAATAGGTCATGAAAGGGGTACCATTTGTCAATAGAAGGTCTTCGAAAGGGGCACCTTTTAGGCCAAAATTGGTTTATAAAAAGGTAAGTGGTTGGACTTCGGGTCGGAGTCTCCCCATATAAAACTTTGTTGAGTATCCTGAAACGCCCTCAGAGGACTGAGACGATCGGGAAACCATCATTTTTATTCCAGTAATCGAGAGTAAATTGGGCCTAGATGGCGCTGAAGTCGAAAAAAAATAGTTAAAAAATGTTCGCACCGCGTATGGGCGCAATTTGAAATTAGAGAGGAAGGTGACATCAACTCGAGGTGATACTATGTCTTCGCTTCTCAGCTCGACGCCGCAAAATCGAGAGAAAAACCACATAGCAGACATAGCAAGGTACGAGGTTCGCTCTCCGAATAAAAATTATCATTATGTTTGGCTTGTTTGCGAAACACGCGCAAAAATTCTATTCAACCACCCAGAGACCCCGGGGGATACTCCCTTATATAAGCTATATAGGTATGTGCCGCCAAATCGGGTAGGGTTTTTGGGCCTTTTTGGTCTGAAAACGGGTATAGATTTTGCCCATGTTGGTCTGTAATCGGGTATAATTTTCGAAGGAACTACGGAAGTATATGAACGTATTTATCGTTTCAAATCCAAATGAGTAAGAAAGACAGAGAAATATTCCAATTTTAAATGGATTTGAAGAATTTTTTGTTTACGCTCTATTCTAAGTAATGATGACATAATTTCTGTCTAAAGGGCAGGTCTGAAGACGGGTATAGATTTTAGAGGTCTGGTCTGAAAACGGGTGTGCAAAATGACATTTTTTGGTCTGAAATAGGGTCGGGATTTGAAGACCAGGGCGGCACACCCCCACCAAGAATTCCCAAGAGTACCCACCCTAGGCCAGAGACATCTCTGACGACCACGAGTCTGTTGCCTTTGGGGCGATCGAGACGATCATATAGAAACTACTAATCGTCCCAGTCGTCCGGATCGTCTCGAGATTTTTTGAAACGACTTGAGCGATCGGGCAGAAGATGATATGGAAACCAGGCTTTCAGTATATAAATTTCACTCTAAGCGCGTTAGTCTTCCTCTAATGTACGCGTTTCATCAGGAGAACTAAATTGTCGAGAAAACATACGGAAAAACTTTCGTCGCTAATAGTATTAATGAAGGGTCACTTTGAAATCAAGTGATTCATGCTGTTAAAAGCACCATTTGACGAAATATAATTACCCCCCCCCGCTTCCCCGCCCGTCACGGTCTTAACGTACCCAAAGCGACTCTAGTTAATCAGTCAGTCAACCAGATGACAGCTTTATTGTGCCACACTGCTCACTCGACACCGCCTCCAGTAGCCGATTCGATTTCATGCAAGCTATATATTTTTAGTGTGTGGCCCATGTTAACCTCATTGGAATGGGTGGAAAACTCGCTAAAGATCACAAAAGGGACAAAATAATCGAAGGCGATTTTGTAGATGTCGAGAAGTTCTCTGGAGGAGTCGATGAATTCGGTGAGCGAAAAGGCGAAGGAGTGTATTGCTACCAAAATGGCGACATTTACGACGGCGATTGGAAGAAAGGAATGAAACACGGATATGGAATTTATACCTACGCAAATGGTAAAAGGTACAGAAATCTAACATCATCGTTAAGGCCTGTGGGTGCAAACCAAAAACTTGGTTATTCATGTATGTAATGTTGTTACCTTGATATGGACATCAAGTTACTTCCGGTAGTTCTCAGGGTAATTTTAATTACATTTGGCTCTTTATAAACATATTACTTCGTTTTTCTTTGAGATCCTGATTCACTGAGTAATTTTGTTTTTCTAAGCTCTTTCAAACGAAAATGTTGAATTTAAAAGTGATTTTAAAAAGACTTTTGTAGCTTATCTCGTCGCTGAGTACTTGAAAAGCGCCCTTGTGTTTACAATGTCGATAGCCGCGCATGCAAATTTCTCAAATTCGGCTATAGTCCTAAAGAAGCTAAATTCGCCTTCTTGAATAGACGAATATTTGACATGTTTAATGTGTAATTAAAGAGTGGATTGTTTCCAAGTAAAATATTGAAGCGACAAAACCCCTTTCGTTGGAATATAAGCCATTACAAAGATCAATTAGATCATAATTTGGACTACCATTGTTCTTAAGTATTACTTCAATATCGAACACAGTAAGCAGCTCTATCAGGATGTGGAATCGCCGCACAGAGTAGTTGAAAATTATAAATAATAGATCATGAAATGATTTGGGTGTAATTTTGGAATTATTTACGTTTGCGATAAAAATTGCGGTCTTCATGCCCCCTATTGTTTTGTGAATATTTTGGCCGTATGGGGTACTCAAACTTCAAACTTTTTATTGCCTTACTAAAGGCAAATAGTTTCAAAATGTGAAGTTGATACCAAGAAAAATATGGAACGTAACCGAGAAGACCTGCATTTTTTATGTACTTACTTCTTTAAATTAAAAAATCCCCAAATAAAACCTAAATTTAGAGTCCCCACTTTGTATGGTGCTTTTGGAGACTTCCTCCTATGAATTTTTAATTCAATGTCATTTTTTGTTGTCTTGTTCTGTGGAGTAGATATTTATGATGTCAAAATGATTAAATAAATAGTTCCTCTCGAAACTGCATGAACAGCACGCGACAGATTGCGCTCAGAAATTGCGATCATTGGTCACCATTGCGTGACATAAAAATAAGAAATTCGGTTCCAGTCCATCTTCTCTGTCTCACTGCATTGTCAGACGGGTTGACCAGCCTGTACTTAATAACCGCAGACAAAAAGTCTTCTTTTTTTTTCATATATATATATATACTCATATTTTTTCTGTGTATCCTTAAAAACTCCTTCTCTTAAAACTCCTCGTTTACACATAACACTTTTTAGTCACTTTCGTCAATGCACACGTGTTCGAAAACGGATACTTTTTTTTATTTGAATCATTATAAAATGATCCTTGACTTTTGGGTAGACAAAGTTATCTAATCTCCCTGGGCTCTACAACCCAGTAAACCTCCGAGATCTTTGTCATTGAACTCGGTTATAAATGTTTTCGTCGGATATGTGTGGGCGGAAAGTGAATCCGTGGAGGAAAATCCGTTTAGTTTCAAAATGAAAACGTATACGGTTGGATGGGTCCTTTTAATTTCACCGCCAATCCTCGTTTGTGTTTTGTATTGTACTGTCATTGAGCGAGTATTCTTTTCAATTCAAACGTATGAGGAATTTATCGTTGTGAATATTTGTAATTTGACAACTCCAAAACGAGACTTTCTTTCCGTGAAATATGTTGGTGAAGGGCTATTTTTTCTATGTCTTAAAAATTTGTTTTATCACTATATTCGCTGTTAATAATCTGTCAATTTGTATTTTCCTTTATGTGGTTAGATTTGATTTGTTTGTTTTTCAGCATCAAAGGATGGTTCTACAAAGACCGCTTTATAGGATCTGAACCGAACGAAAAGTTAAAGAAGGAAATGAAAAAGAAAATGAAAACAAAACCTGGGGCTGAAAACGATGCGGCACCGCTTCCTCCTCCTGCAAATTTACTTTTGTAAGTCTTATCATGTAAACGCAGTGAGTAGCAGCGAGTAGCAGTGAGAGGGTAATAGGTAATTAATGGGTGTAAAGTTCCTTTCTCAGGCTTGCTCTTCACTTTTTCCCTCTTGCGCAGGAAAAAATAACGGATTTCCATTTTTGGATATTTTAGGGTATTTAATGAATACCCATAAAAATCCCAAATTTGGAAGAGTGAGACAAGTCCCAATCAGGGAACTTGGTTGGGAATTCCCTGGTTGGGACTTGTCTCACTTTGCCAAATTTGGGATTTTTTGGGTATTCTTTAAATACCCTAAAATATCCAAAAATGGGAATCCGTTATTTTTTTTCCTGTGTTGTATGAATTCGACAGGTAACCTGAACAAGGCGGCAGGGAAGGAGACTGGGACGGAGTAGTCAGGGCGCCTGTCAATGTAAATCCCGAGGGGGATTCCGGCGACAGCGACGAGAACGGCAAAAAAGTAATTGGTTTAGACTGGCAGAACAACAACTCTGCACGTGTATCACGCTTTTTTCTACATTTCGTTTCCCTCGTTGCACGACTACGGCAATTAAATTAGAGGTTTTTAGGAGGTGCGTACTATCAAAGACTACGACCTGAAACTGCCTGATTTCACATTTTGTGGAGGATGTGAACACAAGAGAACGACTTTCTTTTTCTTTTTCTGAACTTGATACAGTCCTTTAGAATTCAACTCCAGAAAAATTCCCCAGCATTTGACGAAATGAACGAAATGGAATACGCGCGCTTAAATTTGAAACAACGCGAACACTGACGTGAACTGACGTTTTCGTAGCCGTCGCCAAGTATTGCCGTCGTTAATGCTTAAGCTCCCTAATGTGGGGGAAGGGGTGGGGCGGTGACAAGTTCACGTTCTTTTGGTAGCGAGAGATTTCTTAATTAAATATCTCCAGAATACGTATTAAAAGACGATGGATTTATTTTTACATACACCTTCAATAGAGAGGAGAAGTGTGACGTCACATTACCATGGTAGCACTATTTCTGGATGACAACAAAACCAACGACCACGGCGACGGCAAGGATAACGGCAAGAATGATTTGTTTATATTAACAAACAACAACTTTGCACGTGCATAACGCTATTTTGTACATTTCTCTGCCTTCTTTGCACCACCACGACATGATACTTCCTAATTTCACGAGCCCGCTTTATGGAGTAGGTGAACACATCACAAAAATTGTCGCTTTCTTGTTCTAAACTTATTTAACTACAGATGTGGTCCCAAAGAAAATTTGCCCAACATTTGCCAAATTAAAAGAAATTGAATAAGATCGGTGAAGTTTGAAATACTGCGAATAGACTTAGTGGCTTTATCGGTTTGTTGTCATCCAAACATTTTGCTACCATGGCAACGTGACGTAACGACTTCCCCTCTCTATTAACTTATCTTTATACTTCTTTGGAGTGCTGCGACGATTTAACAAAGTGTTTTTTATTTTTATGATAAGCAATGCCCAACTTGAGAGCCTTTACATCCATCCCCACGTGATTTCTCAGTTATTTAAATTGTAGGTGCATAATCGTAGCCCCAGTTGCCCTAGACTTCGAGTAGTCCCCATTTCTCCTCAGGGATAGTAGAGCAAGCGAAACGCTAGCGTGTGTGAAAATAGCACCTCGCCTTTCTCGTGAGGGGTGATTTTCAAGCGCGCTCGCGTTTCGCTCGCTCTAATATCCTAGAGGAAAAATGGGGACTACTCGTAGTCTACAGTTGCCCCAAAGGTGGATAGTGTTATCTCGGAATAAATGTAATCAGTTGGTAACTCAATTTGCTTTCCATTGGATAGCACTATTTAGTAGACAGCGCTATCCGACGTTTGAACACTGCTTTGTTTATAAATGAAAACCTCCGTCAAGTCTATTGCCAATGATTGAAGAATATCGTAAAGCTACCTTTCTTATGTGCAAAGCTTTTCCTTCCTTATGTATTGCAAAACACGAGTCAGATTGTTTCTTTGTAATCAGTTAATAACAGTGTTTCCTTGCCTAAAATAGTTCACCCCCTGCAGACGATGACAACAGATCGAAACCTCTAGTACAAATTCGTATCTCAACCAGTCACGAAGATGTTTCCAAAGACGACAGTCTGCTTGGAGATGGGGATTTCCGTCGGGTAAAGAGTGAGCGTCGACCAAAGAACCATTTCCGAAGAAATTTCAAGCTCCCCAGTAAGAATGAGGAGAAGTTGGAAAGGCAAAGAAGCTTGAGGTTACGGCAGTCCATCCGCGCTAAATGGGGCTTGCCTGAGCCTTCTCGAAAGAATCCGTTGCTTTCTCCTGATTAGGGCTGGCAATTTTGTAGATTCCATTTTTTTACAATAATTTTGTTTATCAGATTTTGCTATGATTCTTCGTTCCAAAACAACAAGGATATTTGATATCAGAAGAAAAATATGCTCATATATATAATTTATAGATTGATATACAAAATCGGTATTGATTGTCATATAGTAACCTGATTTTTAAACTGTCTAAAGTGACTCACTCATAATCCCCATACATGTCTTGTACAAAAGATAACGGTGTGTTGGGGATAAGAGTAGTGGCGTCTGAGGAGAATTAGCCGAATTTTTGGGGAGTGTAAAAAGTGGGGAGTAAAATTTAGTAGATAGCTCATGAATAAAATGCGCGGGAAACTTGTTTAATTTATGCTAACGACGTTCAGGCAAGTACTAGTAATGACGTCATAACACCATAAGGTCCATTTGACAGTTTAGCAAGCCCGTTATTCCTTGAACATAAAAACCCACCACTTTTCGTCAAACCTTTCCGTAACCTAATTTTGGAGGGAAAAAATCGAACTGAAAGATTTAATAGAGGTTGTAACTTTTTTTTGTTACGATGGCTTTTACCAACAATTCCGATATTAAAGCAACGCGCTGTTGGTCAGTTAATTATGCAGTTAACAAGTCGTCATTTGCATACAAATTGGCTCTACAGCCTTGACTTATTATTATAAAAACACAAGACAATTAGTGACTTAACAAGGATCAATTAAAACACGCGAGTAATAAACGTTCTCCCCCGCTAAAAAAAAGATATACATGCACGAGATACAGTTTTTCGTTCTCCTCTTTAGCAGTCCGGAATATCCCTAAATTTAACGACAGGGTCAACTGGTCACGCGACACCTTTCAACCAATGAGATTAGGCGCGCTTGTGTTTTTCAACAAACAAATCAAAACATCGCCCCAGTGACAAAAAATTTTCAAAACAACGGACGGAGTCGGACAGAATTAAAGATGGGCTTACAGTACTCGTCTAGGTTTCACATTTAATATTTCAAAGAAAACATTTCATGTAAGAGAATAAGAGCATTAATCATAACTATAACAAAATTGTCAAATCTGATTGGCTCTCAACTGCCCTGATTTCAGCCTTTATTACATCCACTTTGAAATCACTGGCTATCCGTGCAATCTGATTGGCTCTCAGCGGTGTGATTTATTCCTAAATTGCACCATTTTTTGCTCTAAATTGCATCTGTTCCAAATCGCGTCATTCATGTTCTAAATCGCATCATTTCTGTTTTAAATGGCACCATTTTTGTTCTATATCGCATCATTTCTGTTTCGAATACAAAATGAGATGTAAAAGCCTTTTTGTTTCGGCTTTTTAACGAACCGGCTACTCGATCAATAAAATATTAGTACTGACTAAATTCTGCGATTTCAAAATGGATGTAATAAAGTGGTAATTGAACTTCGTGTCGTGCAATTTTGGTCTGAAATCATACTTGTGATTTGAAATCGAACTCGCGCTGCGCGCTCGTTCGATTTTGAAATCACGCGTATGATTTCAGACCAAATTGCACTCCACTCAGTTCAATTACCATTATTAATCATTGCAAGGAATCATTGGGGTGTTCGAACTGATTCCGGACCGATCGCAAAGGTCGTGGCTTCACTGGCATGGCTTGCAAGATTTTTGATAGAAGCAAACTGGTCCCGTGTAAAAATAGCCTTAGAGAGAGTGTGAAAATTTGTTGAGATCGAAACAGCATTGGTACTACCTATTAACTTCTACAAAACAGGATTGGTACTACCTATTAACTTCTACAGGACAAGAATCAAAGAACCAGTTATCATAACTAGAATAGAAAGTAGGTCAAATTTATTAATTTTTCTTGTTTGTTTTTTTTTTGTATTGTTTCGTGTTGACTTCACGCATCTGGTGCTTTCTTTGCTTGCTGTAGTACCTGCAATGTTTTAATTTTATCCAAGATAATCAGTGCATGTTCAATGAGTAGCGAAATACATCATTTACAATTGAGATTTGCCTTCTTTCTTTGATTGTTTTTTAACGGTGAATGAACATTTGGAGAATCCAACAACATTAAATCTTTCCAGATTACTGAATTTCAGAAACAAAGCAGTTAGTATCTACTTTGCGCTTATGATCTTCAATTTCATGCCCACAAATTCGGCAAAGTGAGGCGAGATGTTGGACGTGAATACCCATAAGACTAATTAAGTTGTTTTGGCCTTGAAAAGAAAAAAGGCAAAGGCTCGTACTAATGCGAAAAAAGTAAATTCAAAAATTGTCTACCAAAATTCTAGGTTGTCTACCATCTCCACATTCAACATGATAAAAGTTAATCGATATGACAATCGAGGAAAAATATCTAGAACTTCGTAAAAAATCTGTGAATCGAAAAAATAATAGAGACTTGTTCACCTACCTTGAAAACCGACCAAAATCTCGCCTATACATCACGTTGTTTAAAAGATAAAAAAAGAAATAAGCCACAAAATGTGCTGAATATTTCACGAGACACTTCCAATATGGCTTCCAATACGCTGTCCACTTAAAAAATTGTGTATGCCTCATGAAAAGTCTTAAAAATATGCCTGAGAGCCTCGAAACGATGACTGATTCTGTCCGACTCCGTCCGCTGTTTTGAAAATTTCTGATCACTGGGGCGATGTTTTGATTTGTTTGTTGATATACACAAGCGCGCCTTCTCATTGGTTGAAAACTGTCGCGTGACCAGTTGGCCCTGTCCTTAAATTTAGGGATATTCGACGGGATATTCTGGACTGTTTAGAGCGGGAATAAAAAGTGGTTTCCAACGTCTTCGCGTTTTTGTGTGTCACTGCTCCACAATCGTGGCACCGAAGAAAGCCCTCTTTCATGTTATTTCTCTCCTCGAGGATCTGGTGAAATGAATGGTGCCAAGACCAATTAGGACATTTCATGATCAATGTCCCGTACACATTAGAATTCTCACAATGTTCACAGGGATTTTTTGAGTGAAAGGTGGTGGACGTTTCATGGCTATTACTTTCTGTTTCCTCACTGTCGTTTTCAGTGTCGTTGTCGCTCTCTTGGGTGTCTTCAGCTTCACTGCCATTCTCAGAAACCACTTCCTCCTCCTCCTAATTTTAAATATCCGTTGAACTCTCCTCATTATTACTCTTGTTCTCGGAAGTATTTTCTGCATTTCGGTAGCTTTTACCTTTTCCATTAAATCGCTTAGCAAGTTTTTGTTCTTGATTAATCCTTTATCGATCCCTAACTCTGCAATTCCATCTAGAAACGTATTCAGCGCACGAGGCTTGCTAACTTCGGCGATGTTTGTGACAGGAATTATAAGTTCATTTTGAAGTTATTGACGCGGGGAGTCCACAAAAGAATACCTCTGGAAGCGGCCAAACTATGCAGCAAATCAGAAGCACGCTTTTCCGACACCGCTCGGGAAAGATGACTCAAAACATCTTTTATTCTTGGGTCTTCATCTTCGCTTTCATCACCAGAACTTTCGCTTTCTTCATGTTCACTCCCGTGCTCTTCTTCAACCAAATCTATCTTTCTTTTCATTTTCATGAGTACCGGTGGGAGACATAGCTTCGAATGATCAACTTTGCGATGCGTCATCTCTTTTATAGCATTAGAAATCCTAAGCTTGAAACAACAGGGGCCAATAAGTCTTTAATAAAACCACTACCCCCTTGTACAAGGACTCGCTTGTTTGTTTTGTAGGGGACATTTGGTCTGGCCAGGTCAGGTAAAGCATCCTTATATGACTGCCATACCCTCTTATTTTCTTCGGGGATGGAAATGTGTCCCCTAAGTATATTGTACAAGACTTGGACTAGTGAATGTAGTTGTTGTGGAATGGCTGTCTTTAAAAGAAACTGGCGCTGATGAACAGGGCAATCAGCTAACAGCTGAAGAAAACCACGATTGTTGTTTACTACACAAGACATTGAAACCAAACGAACTAATGATGGCAGTTGGCAGTCTTTTATAGAATCTCGGGGAGAAAAAAATGAAACTAGTAGGAGGAGGATAGAAAACAATAGAAATGTTGTGGCGGTGGTGGTGGTGGTGTTGTTGGTGGAGGAAAACAATAGAAACGTGCTGGTGGTGGTGGAGAGAAAATAATATAAATGTGGTGGTAGTGGTGGAGAAGGAAAACAATGAAAATGTGGTGGCTGTGGTGGTGGTGGCGGAGGAAAACAATAGAAATGTGGTGGCGATGGTGGTGGTGGTGACGGTTGCGGAGGATGAAAACAATAGAAATGTTGTGGCGGTGGCGGTGGTGATGATGGTGGGGGAAAACAATAGAAACGTGGTGGTTGTGGTGGAGAGAAAATAATAGAAATGTGGTGGTGGTGTTGAAGGAGGAAAACAATAGAAATGTGGTGGTGGTGGAGGGAAAACAGTACAATTTTATGATCTGAAAACCTATATAAAAGCACAACATTTTACCTCTTTCTCAGTCTACATAGAGTACCGAAGTGTGACGTCACAGAAAATGAAATTTGTGAAATTATGGGATTTGTTAAGCTATTCTGAAAGAACAACGTCCAAGACGCCTACTCGCCAAAAATTAGCAACTTGGGGCAAATTGTCTCTGAGATATTAGCCCAGTTATGCTCTGAAGACTCCATACAAATCCTTCTAAATCTTACCTGGTTCCTAATCTTATGAACTAAGCCAAATTTAGAAGGATTTGTATGGGATCGTCACAGCATAACTGGGCTAATATCTCAGAGACAATTTGCCCCGAATTGCTAATTTTTGGCGAGTAGGCGTCTTGGACGATGTTCTTTCCGAATATCTTAACAAATCCCATAATTTCACAAATTTAATTTTTATGACGTCATCACTTCGGTACTCTATTCTGCTCTTGAGAAGTTGACATGAGTTAGTTCTGTTCCGTTTGCGAAAAATCGTTTAATATAAAGGATAGCATGCAACGGCACGTGATGTCTAAACACCGCAATGCTGGTAACACCCCATTTTAAACAGTTCCAATGCCTTCAAAAAATATCAGCGG